GACACGATTGTACAAGAGTCATAGGATGTCACAGGTCTCATGACAGAGTGGCAGAATGCTTTTTCATTTTGGCGGGCAACATGATAATGGTGAGCGGAAACCTGAGGGTGGCGGAACCATACAACTGACAGTTTATAACACTTTTTAGCCATATAATGAATCCATATGAATCCTGAATCTTAAAACATGAGATATCCAGAATCTCGAGTCTTTCAGCTTCGTTCAGACCCAAGATCGGCTAGTCATGCCTTTTAGAGCATGCAGTAGTTTGGGTATTCAATGGCTTGCAATCGCAATTACCGGCTTGTATCCCATTGACAAGCCCGCGATACATGCAGCAACGAATTCACGGGTGATGGCCAAGCTCTTCAGATTGTGGCACCTCTGCCTCAAGAAATTTGCATGTTGTATCATGCTGTTGCATTTTGTTGCATTTTGATATCATGAGCTAAATTTCTTGTTCCGTGCGTTTCTTCCAATGTTTCAAGTCAACGTATCGTTCCCCAGTGGCTGTTGTGAAACTCTTTCACTTCCTGAACTGTCTACAGTGGGGGACTTGAAAATTCTGGCCCAAAGATCTCTCAGACAGGGCTTCCTCAAACTCGTCACTGTGAAGGGTCATGTCCTCTCCAACCCCAAGGACTCCTGCAAGCTGCAGGGGTGCAAGAAGGCGAGCACCTAACTGCAGTAGCCCAACAGGCTAAAGTAGCTGTATCTCTCACAGCATTTGCTGGTGCTCTGGAGGCAACCAGGTCATTACATGGGGCAATCCACTTGCAGTGGCTGCCTGTCAGTTGAAGATCAACTCAGTAATGTGCAACAAGTTCAGGCCACACGTCAAGGTGCATTTGCTGCCATCTTGGCTGATGGATCCATCGTTACCTGGGGCGATCCAAACCTCCGTGGTGACTGCTCCGCAGTTCAAGATCGGCTCAGCAGTGTGCAAAAAGTTCAGGCCACAGGATGCGCATTTGCCGCGCTGTTGGCGGATGGATCAGTCGTTGCCTGGGGTGATCTGAACTATGGCGGTGACTGCTCCACAGTTCAAGACCAGCTCAAGAATGTGCAGCAAATTGAAGCCACAGGTAGCGCATTCGCTGCCATCTTGGCTGATGGATCCGTGGTGTCCTGGGGCCATCCAAGTCGTGTTGGTGACAGCTCAAAAGTTCCAGATCGGCCCAGGAATGTCCAAAAAGTTCAGGCCGCAGACTGTGCATTTTCCGCAATTCTGGCAGATGGATCACTGATTACCTGGGGCTATACATGCCATCCATTCATTGGTGGTAACTGGTCCGCACTTCAAGATTAGCTCAAGAATGCGCGCCAAATTCAATCCATGGGTACTCGTAGTACCTTGTTGGCGATCTTGGCCGACGGATCTGTCGTTGCGTGGGGCGATCCAGACGATAGCAAAGACTAGACCGGAATTCAAGATCAGCTCACGGGTGTAAAGGAAATTATATAAGTCCACAGCAATTGGCGCGTTTGCTGCGATCTTGGCTGATGGATCAGTGGTTGCTTGGGGCCGTTTTGGTGACTGCTCTGCAGTTCAAGACCAGCTCAGGCATGTCCAGCAAATTGAGGCGACGGGTAGCGCATTCGCTGCCATCTTGGCTGACGGATCGGTGGTTTGCTGGGGGAATCCAAGTGATGGCGGTGACTGATGCACAGTCCAACACCAACTGAGGAATGTGCGGCAAATTCAAGCCACAGCTCGTGCATTTGCTGCCATCTTGGCTCATGGATCAGTCGTTGCCTGGGGCGATCCAGACCATGGTGGTGACTGCTCCGCTGTGCAAGACCAGCTTCAGTATTTGTAATTAGTTGTGGCACATGCAATGCTGCAAAGCCCTAATTCTTATTAGCTTGTTCATCTCTCATACATGAAACTGGCCGGGGGTGTCACATTTAAGTGCAATTCGTCCAGTCCGATGTGGAATGATGACCATCAACTGTCTTTCATGCAGTTTCTAAAGAAGCTTGAAACAACCAGTGATCAACTGCTATAAGTCGAGAACGTTACGTGACTTGCGGCTAAAAGCAGTGGACAGCACGTCAGCACGTTCGTGGCTACAAGAAATGATTGCAGGAAACCCACATGGGCTCTTCTGACTGTGCTGGATGCAGGTTTCTTCTCATCCCAGTGGTGTTTTTTCCGGTGAAGATAAACTTAATTTTACCTATTTTAACCACTAAGAGGGGGGTACACGCGTGTTTAGGATCAGTCTGATTTTTGTTTCGAAGTGGGTTGTGGCGGTTTACAGGTTACATCAGGTTACTATCCCAATCTTTCAGGATTTTATCATGAACACTTGAACTGGGATAAATTCACATTGGCGGTTCATCTACTCCTGGGTTCTTACCATTAGCGGTAAAAACAGCAAAACACCCAGTTGAGGATGACAATCTATAGGAAACTGGTAGGAAACCATTTTTTCCATTTTTTTTCCAAATAGGTTCTTTTCCTGTCAACTTTACCGATTTTACTCCTTAAACGCAAAACTCCAATTTTTCAGTCATGCTGATTCTCTGGGTCTATCGGCCCATGGTGCCTTTGAAAGGCAGGTTTCGGCTTGGCAGCCACGTCACAGACCAGTGCACTCCATGCACACGTCACCATCCGGGTGGTAGGAGGATAAAAACGGGCTTACTCGCTGGCAACATCTGGCAAGTGGTTCCAGTGAATGGCAGAATGTTTGGTGGTTAATACATGTTAATATATATGTTAATATCCCGTTGTTAGTTTATGTTAGTTTCATCCCATTGCGTTACTGTAATTAGCCCGAATGCTTGATGTTTAGTATCCCATCAAAGCTGGGAAAGTATGACACATTGTTGCAGAATGTTGCAGACTCTACGGGCTCATCACCACTGGTCAACGGTGCTCATTTTGGCATCATTGCTTGCGCTGGAAGCCTGCAAATTCGCTGGAAGGCCTTGGGGAATGTCCGGGCGAATGTCAGGGGGAACGTAGGATCCTAGAACATCCCGCGCAACCGAATTTTCTGTTGCCATTTTGGGACTTAATTATAAAATATTATAAATGAGGACCAGCACTTGGGTGTTGTTGCCCTTCAAGCCATCAAACGGTTCACACGAAATAAGTTTCGTCTATGACGGGATGTGAACTGCTGTGAGCAGCTCGAGCTGCGGGAAACCATAGGAAACCTGTCAAATCTGATTTCTTGCCGCTCAGAGGGCTTTGTTCATGCAGCATGCCGCAACCAAGAGGTTCTCACATGCAGCCACAGCGTATCCTGATCACCGTGTGACATTCTTCAAAAGTTGAGTTTTCAAGAGTTGCAACGTTCCGCTTCGAGATCATGTTCATTCCACGGCAATAATAACACTTGAAACAACGCTCTGCCAGAGTGTGGGAATTATCCTACCGTCCAGAACATCACATTAGAACTTACACAGCTTGTGTGTGGATCAGATTGGATCAGTACAGACAAGGACAGAAGTAAGGATGACAATCAGAACTTGACAACTGAAACGAACGTGGTCATCGGATGTGGCCACAGTCAACTCCCCGCAAGCTCGCCTTCTTCCTGCAGGCCCAGGGATCAAGACGTTAGCGTCCTCGTGAAGTTGGATATCGTTGGAAAATGGACCTTCATTCCACCATATTCCACCAAAGATTTAAATATTATCTTATGATATCTTATGTCCGCTAGGTTTTGACCCATTCCCATATCATGCCTGATTTAAAGCTGAAAAGCTTGAAGTCAACCGTGTGGAAGGCTGATTCAGGCCGCAAGGGACGTTCCCATGGCGGGGTATGGGCCCTAAAAACTTATGCCTTGCATCTTGCTGCCCTGCTGCAGTATAGAGATCGACCTGGAATGAGGCGAACGCTTCAGTTTATTGGCGGTGTCTTTATCCAGACGCCTGGAACCAAGCTGTGGTAGGTACTGAACTTGATTGACTGCATAGCGGCATAGCGACGGGTTCATGTATCGTTGCGGGTCTGGGGAGGTGTGTTCGCTCCGAGGACATAAGCGTTGTTTGTTTTTGCAAGGCGCAGTTGAACTGCGTCAAGTGTCAAGTGGGCACACTCCCAACTCCATTCTGCACTCTGCACTTCAGACTTCGAACTCCACACTCTACACTTCCACACTGCACTCCACACACACACACAACACACTGCACTTTATGCACTTTACCCGCCAGACTCCGTACTCCACAGTCCACCCTCCACACGCCATTCTTTGCACTCCACACTTTACCACCTTAGACTCCACACTGTACTTCACGCTGCACACTCCACATTCCACACTGCACACTCTACATTATTCCATACACTAAACTCCTGACTGTACTCTGCGCTAGTGTTCCATTTTGTTTTGCGAACTGTGCATTTGGGTTCGTGGCTTCTATCAGGCAGGTTTAATGACACATTTGATTTCGTTTTGTTGGCAGGGCAGAGATTAAACTTGCCAAAGTTGGTGGTTTGAAGATGATTCATGACTGGATCTTGCACAGGTTTGTTGCAGCATATTGCACCAGGAGGATGGACATTTGCACCTCGGGTTGCGGCTGAGGACCCGGATGTATTTGAAGAAAGAGATGGAGCGGTTCGGAGAGGTAGAGGCTGGGTTTGGGGCAGGTCGTTTGATCATGCTCATGATATCTCAGAATGTATCTGCACCATATTGCACCAACAATAATAGGAATCATCAACAACAACAACATCAACATCAGGAGCGGGTTTGCTAAGCTACTCCAGTTTGGCATGCCTGGAGGTTTGCCACATGGGCAATCGCGACAAACCAGAAGAAGAACCTCCCTTTGTTCGTGGCAATCTTAGGTTCTTTGGTGTATCCAAAGATGAAAAGCTGCAGTGGCCAACAAACCCATTGCTGATTGTGGGTTGGGGGATTCTACCACCATTGGCAGGATGTGCAGGAGGTTTCCCTGCGGATGTGTTCTAGATTCTAGATGAGGCAAAGATCGTTTCACCTGGTTTCCAACAGCCTTCTTCAGTGTCCCACCCCGAGGCTTTATGACTGAGAAAGCTGCACAAGACGCGCTGGATGCGCTGAACAAAGGCCAACATTTACTTCCACAAGTTGTTGGCTGCCTCATGGACATTCCAACATGCCCAAAAAACATCAAAAAACGGGGAATTCGACTTCCCCTCCTCACATATATTGACCAACATAGACCATTTTGATCCATTTTGATCCGTTCTGGGGGATTTTGGGTATCAAAAAATTTGGACAAACCCAAATCTTGCAGCCAGGCGAAGTCTTCGTGGATGGCAATCAGCTGAAGGTTTGCTGATCGGACAGATGAATCAGAATCCCAGACAAACCTGGCAAGTCCAAGTGTTTCTGTGATTTTTAGTTGCCCGGGATGAACGATTCATGTAGATTGGCAATCAATTAATTAATGGTAATTAGTTCAATTTATATTATAATTATATATATATGAATATATGTTAATTTAGTTATCCGCCCGTGGCCGTAAGAATTTATGGACATACCAGCATGCTCCCCTTCGAGCTGGAAGCGCCTGGTGAAGCTTTCGCAGGCGCAATGGCGACCTGCCCGTGGTGGGAAAGGCGAAGGCCGACGTCCTCCACCAGAGAAGGATCAGATGCGATGGCCCGAGAAGTTCTGGGATCTTTCGGGAGGTTTGACCAACACACGTGGGATGTGTTGGGATATGATGCACAACCCACATCAATCAACATCAATCAACATTAATCAACATCAATTAGCATCAATCAGATCAGAACCAACTTTTTTGTGGGAGAAGATGTTAAAAGATAACTACAGCACTAGACCCCATGCAGCTTTTGCTACGTCTGGTTACATGTTGCAGGGAGCGCATTGGTTTTGGGGATGGTGGTTCTTGTTCATATGAGTTGCACAACGTGAAGGATCGACAGTTCCTGGATTTCATGACCCAGTGATCCCAGTGAACCGCTTGGAACGGCTACAGTATCTGCCTGCAGAAGGGGATATTTCCCAGTCTTCTGAGATCTTCTGAGGCACCGCAGGGACTTGGACTTCAGCTCACGCGACATGATGCTGCAAGCAGATGACTCAGATCGAGAAAGCAATTTCTGATGAGAGAGTCATATTTTGATTATTTTGGGTTTTAGAATGTTTTAGATATTTTGATGATTTTTGATGCATCAAATTCATTCAACTTGAAGGCATAAAGGCATATTATATATGCCATCCTTGATAGATTGGTTGCTACTTGACTCCATCTGCCCACAGCTGGCTCCTTGTGCAGGCACGTGCGGCTGGTGGCAGGAGCGGCTTAGACTCTTAGACTTCGGAAACTGAGTCAGGTGACAGCCCAGAAGATGCTCAATAATTTTCACTAAGAAGATGTTATCCAGATCTCATGATGAGATTCTTGGATATTTCTAGAATCATATCTAGATCTATTAAATTTGAAACAAAACTGCACAATGCTCAGAAACTATGCGGTTTTGCATGACGCTGCGTTGTTGCACCAGGAACAGTCGCAAGGAGAGCCGAGGGCGAAGTGGCTCCCGTGACCGCAGGCAGAGCAGAGGATGTTCACAGCAGCTCAAGAAACACCAGCGACCCTCAGAGATCTGAAAAATCACAGCCTGCATCAAACTGCTCTGGGTTGTTTCGGTGGAAACCAGCGCTACTTCCTACTTCCCCTCATTTCCATGGCCCCTTGTGTTTGACAGGAGACGTCGGAGCCGCAGCCGTAGCCGCAGCGGGAGCCTTATTGCTGGGGTTGGTCGCCGGCAGCGCTGTCAGCGGATTTGTAGATGTTCAACTGCCACAAAGGCCGTGGCCGAGACCGCCGGCGGTGACTGGCGATCAGTGAGGGAAATCACAGGAAAGCTGTGAAACAGGGAATTAAGCAGTTCAGCAGTTGTCCTGGTTTGACCAAACCAGGCATTTCTATGTGCTCAAGTCAAGGAGCTGCTGGGTACACCGGTTTCAAAAAGAGTTTGGAGATCAACATTTCCAACGCCCAGCTTCGGAAATCTGAGACACCCTTCATGCGTCCAGTTTTCAAGTGGCTGGAGAGTGATTGGCTTCCGTTTGTTGATTGGTCTACTGAGTCTACTGGTCTACAGTCCCCTCTTTGAGCTGCCGGATCTGCCGGTATGGAAGATCCGTTAGTGATGGAAGTTGTTGACCCCGATAAACAACTATGGGAAGTCAAAGCTGCCAGGGCTGTCATTCTTGTTTTCAGATTTTTCACCCTGTCGCTGCCAGGTGTTGAGAAGCTCCAGCCTGCCACTGGATAGTCTCGCAACATCTTGCAACCGTGTGCTATGCATTTGAGAGGCAAAGCCTGTCTGCTAAAAACATGCTGGAAGCGGAACGCATGGAAGTTTTGGGCAATGCATGCCGAGAACTGGCATCAAGATGCATCAAGTAGATACTGTCAATGAGCCTAAACGGCCTAAACATGTTCCTATACACATGCCTACTTAAACCCCAGAGATCCATGATCATTTGGCAGGCAATGGTTGAGTCTTCATTGGTCTTCATAAGAGGCATTGTTGTCCCACATGGGTCCTGCAAAAGATAAACATGGTGGTCTCGAAACTTTCATCGAGGTTGAACAACATCTTTCGCGAAGAATGGCCGTTTCCGGACGAAAGAATCGAACGAATTTCGATCAACTGCCACAATACCATCTAACAGATCAAAATAGATTAAACATGATTAAACATTCTGTCTGACATCGATTTTTTCATTCTGTCTGACATATATTCCGACATTTTATTTGGCATCTTCGGCGGCCAAGATGGCAAGACTTGACCGAGGTTGTAGAAAAAGAATCAAGACAGGTACAGAGACAAATTTCAGAAACAAATAGATAGCAATAGATAGCATAGGTTGATACAACTGGATTGCACTCCTTAGATTGATAGACTCGATAGTTCGGATAGAAAGATTCAACAAGTGAAAGATAGATACATAGATCGATAGGACCAGGTTGTCTGCGGTGAGACTAGAACGGATCAGATTATATAGATCACATGAGATTAAACATGATTGAATTAAATTGACATCAATACAAAAGGTAGCTAGATTTATTAAGTAGATGGGTTGATTATCTAGCATGAGCATCGAACAACCGAAGACCAACATAGTTTTTGGCTCACAGCATGGACCAGTAGCTGTGTTTCACACAACATTTACACTTTACACAATATCAGGTTGAACTGTTAAACCTAAACCAACATGTGTTGTTTGCGAGGAATGCGTATGGACAGAGACTCCAACAAACTTCAAGTTGTAGTCACTAGGGAGTTCGTTGCAGTGCAGATGAGCAACCTTCATTAGGATTTGTCTGAACACTATATTATGATATATTACGTGCAAATATGCAAAGAGAATCATTCCTTTTGTTCTGTGTTCTGACCATCCTTGGAATCCCGTTTTCCTTGTTCCACGTTATGTTCCACGTTACGCGCGGAGCGAGGCCATATAATATAGCCATGGAGACATTGTGGATGGACCCCGAAGGTTCGCATCGTGAGCTCCGATGACCATGCGATGTATCCCGTGTCAGTAGAGGCAAACCAAAGTCACAGCTGGCCTTTTTTTGGGGTGACAACCCATTTCTTTTTCTCGTGAAGTGTGAATCCGCAGCTCCTGGAGACCAAAAACAAACACATCTGCCATTAGCAGGATCAGCTATCTGCGTGGCTTCAGGTGATCCGAAGCCAGATGGCACGGACCCGCAAAACAAGCGAACACACGGGCAAAATACGTGAAAGTTCCTGCCTCAAAAGTCTCAGGGTCAAGAGCCCGTCAGTTTTTGCTGCATTTTCACTTGTGAACTTTAGTTAGGTAAAAATGATCTGCAGGCCAAGAATGTCAAGAGACTGTTTGCATGATCTTGAGGCTAAGGAATTTTCGAAACTGAAGCCTACGAAGACCACACTTTAAGAGTTGTGAAATGCCTAAACGATGGTGTTGGATACTTCCGACCAGGTGACCAGCACGATCCATGTCCGTTCTGAAATCTGATCTTGATGCTTGACCTTAAAATATGCACATATGTGTCACCTCTCCCCATTTGAGAACACAATTGAACTTCCTCGCCCCTCAGCAATACCCGGGATCACCAAGGATGCTCACAGCTCCGACGTTTCTAAAGTGAGCACTGGGGAGTTGCGGGGGCTAATTTGGCCCAAATGACAAGGAACAAGCGACCAGGTGGATAGGTGGATAGAAGGTGCAGAGGATACTTTGTACTTGGGTTGAAAATTGAAAGCATGGGTAGACCGGATAGAGACAAAGCAGAATTTCACTTTATTTTAATTTATTTAAACTACATAATTAATCATTTCAACATTGCTGATTATCCCATTGTTTGGTGGTTTATCTCCTCTCGATAGTATAATACTCTTGACGTGCGCGCTCCAAATTTCTTGCTGTGACCCATGGTCAGCATTGGTCAACGATGTTTGTGGCATCATTGCTTGCGCTGGAAGCCTGCGCCGTGCGAGAAACACTGCAACCACTGACGTCAGAAGATGCGATTCGCTGGGAGGCCCCAAGGGGGGCCTGCCACTGCCGAAACGGAGCTTCTGTTTGTTCCGAAATTGGGAGTGCTTGCACTAAACAGACTAGCGAAAAACAAGGCACAGCAATTCAGAAGACACCAGCAATTGAACATTATCAGATGATATCAGATGAACATGTTCTGTGAATTTCTGTGATGTCTCAGACCTTCCCAACTCCACAATAAACTGGTCTGCGACAAGTTAATCTTTTGGACCATTGGTTGTGTGAACTGTGCCCAGGGAGACCGCTACAGGGTGATCCGCCACGGTTCCGATTTGGGATTTGTGGCACTGGAAGATGGGCGGCCGATGCCAAGAGACCAAAGGGACGAGAATCCGATGAGCGAAGGCAGCGAAGGCCTGGAATTGCCACTGAAACACGCCCAAGGAGGTGAAGACTTGACCATGGGGTTGGTTTGAAAATAGGCTAGCGCTAAATCATCCTATATAAATCCATTGGATCCATTGGTTAATCAATGTTAATCAATGTTAATCAATGTTAATCAATGTTCAGCGTTTTTTCAGAGTGTCCCTACTGAGACACACCCAGTTGTAGCATTCTGGTGTTTCGCGAAGGTGAACTGGAACTCTTCAAGGACGCCTTCTTGCAGACGTACACCAACTGGGATGACAAGGCGCCTTTTAATGATGCTATTGCAGGTGTTTTACCAAAGTTTATGGTCTGGAAACTGAAGAACTCAGTTGCAGGGAGAATGCCACCTGCTTAGACTGTTTTAGATTCATGGTTGCATACGATTGAATCTTCCAGGGCAAGACTTGTTCCAGGGGAATGCTGGATCCAGGTGTATGACGCACCTCTGGCTTTGAAAAGACTGAAAGCGCGCAAGATGGGGTGTTGGCATGGCAACTTGCCTGCGGTTGGGTTTTGGCGGGGCAAGGCGACACATCTCTGGAGATGAAGATTCTGGGAACATCTCTAATGATCCCATGGTTTTCCAATGGTTTTCCAATGGTTTTCCAACGGTTATCCCAAGATAATCTCACGCTGATCCCAAGCTGACCATCTCACAGGTAGCTTCACCCCAGACCTTTGCTGCAGCAATGGTGGTTGGTCTGTGTGTGACAGCGACCCGGCACCGTGACGATGACCAGAGATGACCATGGAATGCCCGAAATTTCTACCTTTTTTTGGACTCATATAGACTACAGGCATCCATAGACTATCCATAGACTATATAGTATATAATAGATGCATTGCAGCTGCAATTTCTTCTTGTCAAATTCTGATTCGTTCATGTTTCTGATTGTTTCTGGTTACATCATGTTACATCATGGTCCATGAGGCAACAAAACCAACTTGGCATAGGTGAGCAGTACATCCTCGAAGATTGCTGCGCTGGCTGGTGGTCCAAGAAGGTGAGCTTTCGCCGGGGGGTTTGGATTTGTAGAATCAGGTGTTGCTTCCGTAGGAATCCGTAGGAACCTGCAATCATGAAATGTCCAGATTTTAGTCAATCATTTGTCATTTGTTCATATTTTGTCCATATTTTGTCCATGACTTGTAAGCCGTGTTGAATTCATCGCAGGATCCGACATTCATCCACGAGGCGCGGCAAACGATGCTACACTTCTTCGATGCAGTTTACAGTGGCCCGCCACCTGGCACTCGGTTGACACGCAGTGGGGATGGAACATGATGGAACTGTCACTGAACTGAGCTGTTTGAACTGAGCTGTTGTGATGTTGTGAACTGATGTGAAGTGATGTGAAGTGTTTGAGGTCTCGGAATCCCCACCACTTGCACGCCAGCTACTATGCGATGTTGATGGCAAGGCAAGCGAAGCAAGCGCCCAAAGATGGCCTTGTTTTTGTGGAGGTGGGAGTTGATGAGGGCGACTTCTTTGCAGCCGTAGTCCAAGAGATGGACTGGTTGGGGGTCGACGTGAAATACTATGCGGTGGATCCTTGGTTCGGGAGAATCGAGCAAATGAAGAATGCACTGAATTTGGCCATTAAGTGGGCACCCAAAGTGTGGATCATTCGAGAAACTGGCGACAAAGCAAGTCGAATGCTGGAGGATGAAAGCGTGGATTTTGTTTTCATTGATGCCGTCCACACCTTTGAGTATGTCACCCTGCACATGGAGAAGTTCTGGCCCAAGGTCGGACCCGGTTTTTATCAATGGATATTGGATGATGGTTTGGTGGGTTTGGTGTTGGGCGGTGAGTTTGCTATCCTGCTATCCTGCCAAAATTCAAAGTGTGCTAGGCATGGAGAAGCTTCCAGCAAATTGAGAGGTGTTTAGACTTTAGACACTTGCAGAAGGAGTACACAATATGAATCAATTTCATATACACAGTAGGTGCGGTATGGCAATGTATGAGTATCAGTATGAGTATGATTTGGTATGTTCTGTTTATAACACCCCCAATAAAACGATGCAGAACATCAAACTCCTACCTTATCAAAACGGCTATAAATAACCTGTAACATAACACAACAGAACTGTTCCATTTTTTTGAGGGTCACGTTCTAGATCTTAAGATATCTTAAGCCTACTTGTTCATTCCAGGCAATTTGAAATATTTTTCACACAACTTTAAACATCACTTTTCCATCCACATTTTCGTTGATGGTTACATAAGTTACATGCCATGATTCTACCGGGGATCTGGAGGCCTTTTCGGCCTTTTCAGGTGAAACCTGGAGGTATCCTGGCGGGCCACGATTTTGCTCCCGAGAAGCCACAGCGTTTCCCTGGCCCTTTCCTAGCGGCGAAAGCATTCGCAAGGACCGAGAAGTTGCCAAGGATAAAATGGCCTTTTATACCATCTAAAACCAATAAGAATGGGCATATGATATGGGATGATATTGTGGAAGATAATACAGTACTTATTAAGATATGATAATTTCTAATATGATGATATATAGTGATATATGATAATTGGGTATGATCCGGAAATGCTGATGCCGCATTGCCGCATTGCCGCATTGCCGCATTGCCGCATTGCCGCATGTCCAAACTTGGCAATTTAACATTTAGTGGTGGAAATGATGATAATGATGATCAACCATGGAATTTGGGGTATCATATTTTCAGACAAAGCGATGCAAGTTGGAGATGTTCGGATAGCTTTGGAATTTGGCCAGCAGAATGAACAGACGGTCTCGGTTCTTCCCCGTCTTGATACTTTTTTTAATGGATAGACAATGGCCAAGTCTCTTGACATAGCGTATCCAAATGTACTGTATCCAGTATCGTCACTGGCAAGCCATTGAAAAAACATGAAAAAACGTTTTCGGTGGGTCACCCACTTTGCCTTTGAGGAGGATGGATATCGATGAGCGCCTGATAGGTTTGCAGGGCACCACTTATGCCATTAAAAAAGGCGCTTTCAGAGATGGCATGTAGCTGAACCCGAAATGTGCTTCCACGAAGCAAAGCTTCTTGCGATTCTGAAATAAGCTTGGTGCCGGTCTGTGACCCCTGCTGTCTACTTTGCCATGGTGGCCCAAGCTTTGGCTGTAAAGATGGGGCATCAATTTCAAGTCCAGTCGGTTTGGAACAGTGAGTCGACATGGGAAACTTGAATCCAACATTCAGAGACAAATTTTGACAGGGTGGCAACCAAAGCATAGCACCATTCACAACCAAGTTTCTTTGCACATCTTTGCACCTCTTCTTCCATGAACCGCAGAAAGTGCACTGGTACCACTGCATCAAACAGGAAAACTGACCTGTTTAGACGACACCAGCACCTGCCAGCAATGAGCCTTCATTGCCTTAGCATCTGGATGGTGAGCATTTTCGGAACCAATGTGCCCAAGAACGAGCAGGGCATATGAGACTCTGCACGCCGAGCATCTGCGGTGTCCTGCTGCTTGGATTCCTACAGGCCGATGGAAAAGACAGCAATACGTCGAGTGAATTCAGGCGGACACAGACGTCGGGACGATGTTACCCGGATAATAGTGTCAGCACCGGGACTAGCAGCTACGGATGCCATGCGGCCAAGTTTTGTTCCAACCAGCTCTCAGCGGACCGCTTGGGAACCATGAGTTTGGCTTCATGTAACACAGAAGCAGTGGATTTTGAATCATTTTTGTCCTTTTCATCTCTATTTATATCTTTTCTGACCCATAGGTTCAATATCTCCCCGTCGTTACACGGTGGTGTTTTGTTCAACGCAGTGGTAGCTGATGGTCACATGGTCCTGAGGTATGGCAGAGTGTGACAGTCGATGGAGTTGTGAGGAAATCCAATACGATTGCAACACCGATTGCTGGATCTTCACGGGAAGCTCCAGTTGTGGAACTTTACAGGACACCAGTTGTGGCAGCAGCTACTACTATAAAACAACCACAACCACAACAACGGAGACCACTGAGTTGATCTTGGGAGCTTGTTGGCCCAATATGGCTTCGTCGACAGACTTCAGGTGAGACCTTGACCATATGTTGTGTCACCTTTGTTTTAGCACCGAAACGGGTGTGTCTAAAAAATGGGGTATACGGTATATCATGGTAGATCCTAAAATTTCAATTTCTATAGGGAAAACGATGAAACATTAAAGGGATACGGATTTTCAGACAACGCCCATGAATTCTCAAGGGCCTCTCTGCAGTCAAGTATTCAACTGTACACGTTTTACATTCTTCCTTGCACTTCATGCGGTTTGCGGCAAGTATAGTCTGTCTCCAGAACGCACCTTGGATTTAACGGCATGGGATGTTTGTTGCAAAGGTTGGGTTACTTTAGAACTGTGAATGCGGAACGGGTGACTGTCTGTGATAATGTCCACGAATTCTATGATTGTGCTGGTCACATGTTGCATAGACTGTCCACGTGAAAAACTATGTTTTGTACTCTGGCTACCTTTCCCAACAAATTGCAGTTGTCTTAAGATGTATATCAAGTGTAGTCTCTACAATGATATCAAATGGTTTGCCTTCCTGGGCCAGCTGTCTCATTGTGGAAGAAGTCGTTCAACAAGCCTCCCCTTTTTTTGATGGCAGGTGCACTGCTGCAGTTTATTGCGATTCCCAAAATGACGGCACGAACCATGGCGAGATTCCTCTGGAGCAATGCGTTGCACTTTGCCGTAGCACCTTCAATTGCAACTACATCCAGTACGACTGCAACGAGGCACAGACTCGGTAGGTTGGTAGGCGGCCTGAAGGCCGCGAGCAAAGCCACATTAATCAATACATATCACTTGGTATGCCTCATGATGCTGATTTTTGGGATCGGCTAGCAAAATACACACATAAAATATCATAAAATCACATAAAGCATGAGAAACCAAAAAAGATCAAACAACCCTTGGCCTGTTGTTCTGAGAGCCAATGCGAGACTTTGGACAGCATCGCATGGCAAGGTTTGTCTACTGCTTGAAGAATGCCATCAAACCCGGCCAACAGGCTGGTCAGTCAGACTGTTAGTCAGACTATTATCACCTGTGAGTTCTCTACAAATAGTGGATGTAAGGCCCAACCATTTTTACTGAGAAATTTCCACTGACACCTTGGTGGCCGAACCAAGCCGAAATGCAATGTGGAATAGCATCCAAGTACAATACACATGTTTGCAATGTGAATTGACCTGGGGATGGGTCAAAACCTATAGTATTACCATATTTTGGGGGAATACACATCCATAAACCAACTTAGGGTACCATCCGGGTACCAGGGTTTTGACTCATAGCCACCTGTGAAGAAAGTCAACTAGGTACATTACGACTGATGCCACCCGAAGGTCACCCGAAGAATGTGTTTTTCCATGCACCGAAGGACTGTTGGACAAGTCACTTATGCTTCTGGAATATCCTCAACGGTCCTCCTGAATCATATCATGGAGCATGTGGGTGTGCATGGTGTGTCTGACCTATTATATATACCCTCTGGTTATTTAACATTGCCATGGGAAATGGCCCATTTATAGATGGTTTACCTATCAAAAATGGCTATTTTCCATGGCTATGTTAGATGGTAATCCTAATTAACCTGGCCAAAAAAGAGGTCTGTGACAGTCGCATTCCACCTGGCCACTGACAGTCTGTGGAAGCAGCATCTACCGCTACGAGAATGCGGATATTGCAACATCCACATCAAGTGAGCAAGCAACGGCAGAGGCAGCAGAGCCCGACCCGGAGCCTGCGATGGAGGAGGGGCAGGGTGCAAAACATGGGTGCAATCTAAACCTCACTTGCAAGCTTACAAATTTGGAAAGGACATGAAAGTAGATGAAAGTACCACCACCTTTCCTGACACGGTCAAGACTTGAAACCTGGGCGTTTCGATGCTAAGATGCGTGCTTGTCAGGGCTACTTTTTCCGAGCAAGCTTGATGTCAAGATATGTCAAGAATCAACAGTTGCTGAAATTGGATCAACGAGACAAACAACTGCTGCTCCAATCGTTGATTTGTTGCGTAGGACGTAGATCTTCCAGCACTTTTCCTCATCTCTGGCTTCTGTATATTGGTTTTAAGTGTCTTTTTTAGGTGCTACCTGCAACTCAGCAGCAGTGGCTTGAGATGGCTGGACTTTCAGGGCGAAAGCATCAGGACAGCCAGAAATGTCCAGAAGACATCCTGATGATTGATCTACTATAATGGTGTATGGAGAATTCGTACTGACTTAACAATGATAGAGGATGAGTTGAATATTTCTTGTGCAGTCTTGGAATGTCTCGTATACAATGAAAGTGGAGAATAAAGTCTTTTGTTCGTTGATCTATGCATCCCAAAGTATGTTTTTTGTGGTTGCCTCCTCTCGAGGCAGAGAATGCGAAATCGATCTGCCGGAGCTGCAAAGTTTGTCCTTGGCGCGGGCAGTGGCTCGGTCATCGGCAGCATCGGCATTCGAACCACTCTCTGCGATGGCGAGGAGGATTTGGAGCCGTTGACTTCCATGGCGCGACAAAATTTGCCGCGCTACTGGAGCACGTCGGCTGATCTCCAGGAGGTATCCATCGAGTTTCCTGCAGAAAGGAGGACTGAAAGAAGCCCTTGTAGTGGATTATATCATATTTGCATGTTCTGTGCGATGATGTGTGATGTTTTGATGTACTGCCACATATCCGTATAAAGAATGTAAAAATCATGCGTTTCCTGTAGCAGTGGAGAATCATTCGCATCAATGCCATTTTTTCCCTGGAGGAATCTGGGCTTTGGCGAACTTGCTTATGTGCCTGGTCCAGTAATCATCCCTTTCTATCACCTTTCATTTGATACTTTGAGATGCTTTAAGAGATCTTTGAGGTAGTATCCAGTAGTCAGACATGAAAAACGAGGAGGACATATCAAGTTGCACCATTGCACCTGAAAGATCTGAGGTGAAACATGAGCATTTCCGGCAGTTTCAGTATCTGGTGAACCACACCTACCAAGCCATTCCAACCCAGGAGAGAGTTCGCCAAAGCAGATTTGTTTTGTTTGTGTACAATAATGCAACTACGGTTTACATTTGTTTACTGTATTTGCAGGAACTGGATGGGTGTAGAGTGATCAGAGTGATCTGACACTCGGATATACCTGGATTGGGTGGTTGTTTTGAAGGACCGTTTGTGCCCAACCGATCAGCATGGCAAGACTCGTGGTGGATGTGCTTGTGTACAACCTGGTGGATCGCCAGGCTTGCCAACAGGCCGGCACACTCTTCATTTTTGTGTCCGGAGCATCAGGAATCATTTTCAACCTTCATGGTCTGCTGAAAACTCTGAGAAGGGATCTTGACGTGCAAGGTGCAACACCCTGCAACCAGATATTCTTTCAAAATCGCCGCGAAGAGGTGTTTGTTTTCATCGGAACATCCCGGAACCACTGATTTTTGGCAGTCCGCCAGGCTTCCAGGTGAAGAGAGTCATTCGAGTGGAAGATTCCGACATGTTCAACCGATCCTCGTCAGATCCCGTTTGCCTTGTCAGGTCCACACGAGGGAGAATAAGGTATGAATCCATGAATTGATGCAACATGAAAGGTGCCATTGACAACATTGAACCATAGTTCAAGGATGTTCAAGGTGAGCTGAACTCCAACGCGCTTGGGTTTGTAGAATGTTTTAGAGCTCATTCGCATCAAGATACAGGCTAATTCCACCAGTTGATGGTGAAATTTCCCCCAGTTGATGGTGACATTCCACCAGTGAATGGTGAAATTACACTTGTTGGAGCCTCTCGGCTTGTCGGCCGATAAGGATACATCAAACGCCGCGACCAGATCAAGATGAGCCGTCTGAAATGTGCAGCTCCAGATCCCAAGATTCGCACGCAACAAGCCATTGAGGCATTCCCAGGCGGAAGGGCTGCCAATGTCAAAATATACGTACCATACTGTAATATGCGTAATATATCGTAATATATATATATATATACGTATATAATATAATATAATATAATATAATATGTATATATATATATGTATATATTATATATATATATTACATAATGTATTATATATATATATATATATCGATTTGAAAAATGATATAAAATATAATGTCATCCATAGAACATTCCTACTGCACCAGTTTGCTCAGCTTTATGCAGTCTAAAATGCCTCAGAGTTCAAGTTGTGTATCTTCAAGACAAAGCGCGGGACGGTGGGAGAGCTGCACAGCAGCTCCAGGCCTGCAAGAGGTGGTGGCACAGCTGGATAGTGACCTCAACGAAACCTATTTGTGGCACGGTACCCGAGTGAGAACAGGTCTGCAAATCGCGCAGGACGACCATCGATGCCATCATAAAAGATCTCACATTACGCACTGTCAGCACCACTGTTGGACCATTTTGCCCCCCAATGATTGATTGTAGTTGGGACATGTTGGGACCTTTTTTGCAGGTGTTCGCTTTTTGCCACCCCACCAGGAGGACTTCAACTTGACCTTCGCTGGCTCGGGTGCTGGAACTATGTACGGCAAAGGTTTGTACTTTTCCGAGTCTCTGTTGCAAAAAACGGTTTCTGTTGCAAACTCTGCAATGTCAAACTGTGGCTTTGAACCTTTTATAAAGGAGAGCAGTATCGTTGGTGTGTATTTGTTCTGCTGCTGGGCAGATCCAATATACGCCCCGTTTTCACCAAGGAAAGCAGCACCAAAGCTGATGAGTATAGCCAAGATGAGCCAAGTGGATACTATCACGGTGTGAGAGCCCTGTTACTGTGCCGTGTTTGTATGGGAGAGTTCTACTACACCGGCGAGCGGGATCCTTGGTCACACACACATAGCTGACACCCTAGAGCCCCCTTGTTGCCCCCTGGATACATTTGATCCCTGCCATCATGGCTCAGTTGCGCCGGTGCCTTTGGCAAGGAGCAGACCGCCATTGAGAAGTTCATGCAAGGCATCTCTGATAGCACCCTGGGTGATCGAGCAAAAGCAGTGAATACCTATCGAGAGTTCGTGGCGGCCTGGCATGTGGACTTGGGCGAACTGGTGGGGGGTGCAACATGGTGCAACATGGTGCAACATGTACAAAGGACTACAAATGACAAGAATCTTTGTGTAATATGGCACAGCCTCGATTCCAATTAGGAGTCACCAGCTCGACACAATCCAAGAAGACAAGAGGTAAGAACCTGCAACAGTGAACAGAAATGATGGTGTCGGGTGGCTGAAAAGCTGGATCATGAGTTGTGGCGAAAAAAATGAGCTGCACTTTGTTGAGTCTCAATGCTGTGGTGTGCACCTCCCACTTGTAACTGTGTTTATATATGCGCTATTAAAGTGTATATTAAAGTGGTAGCTAACCAGTTTTTGTGCCATTCGGTTTGAGTAAGTGATAGGAGCCCATCATCACATCGTTTTTCGTCATGTTGAGTCTAGATCTGTGGTGATCTCGCGACTTGAATCCACCGGGCTCTACCAATGCTCCCAGGTATATAACAAGGACCAGGTCTATCCAGAGTACCTGGTGCTCTACGAACGTCTCCATGGCACCCGACCTCCAGAGCCTCCGCCGAAAGATCTGCCTTTCCTCCTGGAGCTGCCTCTGTACTGGAAGAATGTGGGTAAGAACCCACGCATACAGGAGACTTGTTTGAAACTGCGCATATCAATTGCTTCTTCCTGAGTCAACTTGGATTTATGATTGGAAGATTTGGAAGTTGGTCAAGGATCGGACCATTGTTTCAGTCCGAGTTCCAAATCGCCTCATTGAAGCTAATTCAAGTCTTTTTCGTGAGCCAGCTTGTGCAGCACTGCTGTGCTATGCCAGGAATTCCACGATCATTGGCTTGTTCGACCCAAGATTTCCAATTTGATCTATCGAATGGCCCTCCACACATCGGAGAACAGCTGCCCCAAGGCATCGCGGCGCTGCAGCTGGGGTGAGCTGAATGCCATTGGCTGTGTTTGATGCCGGAGACCATGGGATACCGCAAATATAGACTTCTTTATAGGTTCAATTTTACGGGTAATTATTCTATTTTTCAGACAGACCGATACTTTTTCTTGGTTTTCAACATGCAGCATAGCTGTCAGAGGTTCAACGCGCGAAGAGAGTCGAAGATTCCGTACTCTGGTGCAAATACATCAACTGGAAGAAAGAGCTCGCGCGACAGTTGGAAGTCAGCAAGATGGACCGGTGCACTCCGCCCAACGCTACTTGGATATTTTTTTCATTTTTGTTCATCCATGAATCTATCCTTGTTGTCATTCTTCTGAGTATTATTTTTGGTATGATTGTGTTGTGTATTATTACTCTATTCAGCAACATGATATATGTATGACATTATTGTTGTTTATTGATGTTTATTGTGCGTATACTGTTACTATTTGCTATTTTATTGTTATGTTTGGTATTAGTTATTTTTATTGTTCTTATTATTATATAATTATAGAGTTTTTTTTTTTTTGTATTACACTGTATATATTATATATTCATTGATATTATATTCATAATAACAGTTATGTTTTTTGTTAATGCTGTTATTACTATAGCTATCATTATGTATCATTCTTACTTTGGACTACTCCCTGACCGATGCCATGTCGGCCGTTTGTTGTTCAGGAGCTTGATGGAACTCCCAGCAGTGGCCATGTCTTGACTGGTGAGATCTTAGCGGAACACGATGGCGTTGAGGCAATTGATTGGGTGATTGGGTCGGGGGGTTATAGTATGTTAATGTATGTTATACCAAAACCACATCTATCCACTAATTGATTATCAATGTATATCAATGTTATCAATAACCCCCCCCAATTATCAAAACTTAAGTATCAACTGATAATCAATTAGTGGATTGATAATAGTATTATATATAACACATATTGATACCTGTGTATATTACCCTTTGATTATTTAGGTATGGAAAATGGTCCATAGAAATAATAGAAATAGATGTTGCAATGATAATTTTCCATAGCTACATTAAATTCCCAGACCATAATATATTATTTGGGAATGCTATCAATAGAAAATTATTGGATGCTCAATATCATATCTATTAATTGGGTATGATCATCATTGATTATAGCTATATAATATTATAAAAATCACAAGAACTGTCACCTATAGTGTAAGTTGTTGTTCCTTTCTTTGCAGATCCCTGTTCTACCATTCATACTTATCGGACTCTCAATGTGGATCCAAGATGATCATAGAACTTGGTCGACCACTTCAATTTCTTATCAACAGCTTATTTATAGCATTTTATAATCAACTTTTTGTCAAATTGTTACAGGTTTTTCCAATGTTTTTTTTTTTTCCAGATGCATTTGTCATATTTGTCATGCATTCGTTGCCCGAGGCCATCAGTCTGGAAAATATGGTGGCGGGTCTCAATGAGCTGTTGCTGTGGCATGGCACCAGCCGAGAAGCTGCTGCAGCCATCGCAAATGATGGGCGCCATGGCAGGGGTACTGTACCACCATTGAAATCATGTTGAAATATGTTGAGTGGTACACAATTACATAATGATACCAATTCCAGTGGTTTTTTCATGTTTTTCCCCCCAGATTCATGTCCGACTGATCCGACTGTCAGGTTCGTGCTGAACAACAATGCCTTGCATGGTCGACGCTTTGGAAACGGAGTGTACTTAGCAGAGGATCTGAGGAAAAGCCTAAGTCTGGCACTGAGTTGTCGCAAAAATACTCTGAGCATCTCTGAGATCTATAATCAATGGCCATTTCAGGAACCTAAATTGGAGGTACCTCCATTTTAGGATCCTGGATTTCCCATTGATATAATAACTGTCCATGTTTGGTACTTTTGTCTTCAGACAAGCATTGTTTTTTAGAGCTTCGCGGGCACATTTCTTTGGGGGATCAAAGTGGTCCTGCAAAAAAGGTACAGTGCTGCTCCCAAGGGGCTCTTTCGGGTGGTAATCTTGACATATTAATACAATATAGGAAGTGAGAGTGGGACAGAGCAGCTGAGGCTACTGCAAAGAGGCTGATGGTGTGAAATATGTGCTTTTGTGCAGGGCAGTGTGTGGTGAGATGTTTTATACCGAGCAACAAACTCACCGTGATGCACCGGAGCGAGCGAGAGAGCAGGGCAAGCAGAGTGTTTTGGCCAACCCAGACAAGGCGCGAAGGGTTTCGAAGCAATCCAAGGTAACAGATACCATAACAGCACGATGTGCTTTTAGACAGTGGCAAATTATGACGATTTGTACTTTTTCAGTGGCCTCCCCACAGTTTTTGCGATGGCCACTGTGCCCAAAAAATCTGTACGTCGTATCTTCAGGCTTCGGTTGATTCCATGACGCCCCAGGTTGGCCCGCGGGAGTACATTCTTTTTGACACTGCCCAAGTCTATCCGGAGTACATCGTGGAATTCGTGACCCGGAGCACTGAATGAATTCCGCGCAATGTGGAACCTTCGTGCTGCTCCATGTCGCAGTTTTCCCAATCAGGCTGTGTTGCGGAAGCGCATTTACAGCCGTCGATTGAAAGCAAATGTTGGCCAGATCTGCCTCCTGTGAAGCGCAGTGACAGCAATTATTTAGCAGACTGCCGTCATCAGATGACAGATGTGCTAACGACACCCCCACCGACCAAGTCGGGCCTGGGTGAAGACAATATGCAGTCTCCATTTGTCCAAAACCAGCTGTTGGGTGGTTGGCGTGTTTGGCGTTGAACAATGTTGAACGGCTGTTTGAGTGAGATTTGCTGTTTGTTCATCATCTTGATCAGCTTGACAGTGTGTTTTTGTTTCACTTTGGAAGCTTGGCACTTTGGAAGCTAGGGATATGACCCATGGTGTCCTTGTTTCCCTATGAAGAGAAACTGCATTAGCTCATTGGTCGCGCAGCTGATGTGCCCAAATGGATCCTCACTAGCAAATTTCGGTGTCCGCTTCACCATGATGCGACACGCTGCAGTCTCAGCTTTCACTGTGATGTCAAAAACCATCAGTTTCAGTACTTTGATAATTCAGCTTGTCATTGACAATTTTCACAAGCATGCAAGCATATATAGATATACGGATATACGGGTATAAGTTTCTGTAGTTATATTATAAAAAGGTAAAACAAATCCAACAACTCAGTTGGGTGCCACTGTGCTTACCCCTTAAAAAGTGGCACCCCCATCAGCAGCCCCCAGGCCTTTGGCCCGTGGTCCCGTGCATTGCCAGCCTTGGGGCGGCGACTGCCGGCACGGCGGCCGGCGCTACGACAACTGCGGTGCTTCAGTGGCGCGCCTGCCATCAGTCGCGACTCGGAACGGCACATGGGGGCTTCCAATTTATAGGGGTACCCCCAAATCATCCATTTCTAGATGGAATTTCCATGAATTGTACATTGTAAACCATACGGACTATAGGGTACCCCAATACGGAGAGCAATTGAGCTCTCTGAGAACCCTGAAGCCCAGTGAGCCCTTTGTCAATTTTTGTTTCTATTGACCCAGACAGACTTACATCACCTTACATCAAGGGCCGCGCCATCCACGTTCTGCGCAGGGAAGGACAAAAAGCCCGTAGCCTTGGAAACGGTGGTGCCGCGCGATGGTTCACGAGATGATCTCAAGATCCTTCCCGGTGATGCCGATGGCTTGAGGCCCAAAAGATAGCTTACCCTCTGGTTATGTCAAAATAGCTATTGAAAATGACCATTTATAGTGGATTTTCCCATTGAAAATGGTGATTTTCTATAGTTATGTTAGTTTACCAGAGGGTATAACATGTTCTAAACAGCATCTCCAGACAGACGCCAAGCTGAAATGAGCTAAAACCATGCGTGGTCATGGTCATGTTGACAAGCTGGCAGATTTACTGCTGTGCCGCGAGGTTGAAGGTGAATTCTTTGGCCAGCATTTCACTCGAGGAGGAGAATCAATTTGTGCAAATGATGAACAACTACGGAGCAACGGTTCTCGTCCCCAAAGAGGAGAGTGATCCATTGGCCGTGTACAAAACATTGGACCGTTGGTTTGGCAAGTGCGTGCCCCATGATGCCATGAATGAGCATGGGATTGTGGAAATCAATCCAGCCAACCCAACGAGCATCAACACCGCCAATCCCAAAAAGGAACACCTTCCGCATACCGATGATGCATACACAGATAGCCCAGCAGCGCTTCTCACTTGAAATTATGATGAATTAAAAGTGATTTATGTAAGGAGACTTTGGGCATGTTTGAGATGTTTGGGGAACGCGGTTTGGCATTGACGTATTTGAATCTATTTGAATGGTCATAGACAGATATAAAAGGATGGAACATATTAAAAAAAGGATATGAAAGGATATAGTCAAATATCAATCTCATGTTTCAAGCTCCAAATTCCGGTGTTTGTATTCCAACCCCACCTTGCCTTAGATGTTTTTTGTTCAGGTTTTGCACCCTGCAATGTCGGGAATCTGCGGCAACTGGTGGCGAATCAGTGTTGGTCTCCGGAGCAGAACTCCTGGCGGCTTTGTCAAATGAAGAGCTGAGAAGTTTGATGCAGCCAGGCAGCTCGGATGAATTGGGCCAGCGGCTAACATGTTGTGTTTTTATGTAGATCATATAGTATACATGGTATCTCTGATGTGTGTAGTATTTAAATAATAAATAGGAGTATGTTTATATTATTTTATATTTACATTGTGTACATATTATATATGTGACACCTTACATGAAGGACTAAGGACAGCTGATATATCGCTCGGGTTCAAGCAAGCTGTTTCAGCGTGCATCATCTTTTTCGAGTTATGCTGAAATGCAATCCACACCGTCCAGATGGATTTGATTTACCAGATGAATGTCTGGAAATGTTTGGAACAGAGATTAAACCAATGATTACCAGTTCAAGTTGCCGTTTCCCACGTTCGCAGTAGATTCAGTTCCTTGGGATCTCAGGTATGGTGTCGATGGGAAGACGGCCTGCGGCCGATGGCTCCTGGATGAAGGTTAGCTCCATCCCGCTTTTTTGGGTGGACAAGGACCGTTGGTTTCGGCCGTAAACGGGGTTTTTGGGTCCGTTTAGTGGTTGGTTTTTGAAGAGTTTTGGATGTTCTATGAGGTGTGGCCACAGCAATCCAGTGTCCACAGTGAGACAAGAAAGTAGCTGATATGAATTTTCTCTCCTTCCGATGTGGAACCAACAAATTTTCAATGTTCTTTATATAATTTCATGCAATATTAGTATTTATTTAATCATCCCATTTTAGGGTGACCTTCCAGCCGCAGGATTCAGGATGGCTTCAGGTCCGGTGGCGTTGCAACGATGGCTGTGTGGGGGACGTCGCTGCAGAGGTGAAGCCTTCCTACGAGCAGATGGATGCCGTTGCGCGCCACGAGGCCTGGTGTTGTTCATAGAATTGGATGATGGGAAAATTTACAGGAAAGCCCTATATTTGATGGTAAAAACCATGGTTTCCTGTAGATTTTCCCTTAAACCAATCCAATGAGTTGTGGACCACTGGTTTTTGTGGCTACGGACTGGGTCTAGTGTCGACGAATGTCGACGATCCACTGGTGAAGAGTTTATTTGGTGACTTATGACATAAATGATGATTTGTTCATGATTTTTTCAAGATTTAAAGGATGCAACATGAATTTGATGAATTATGATGTAGTAGGATCATCATGTATGCATCGTGGATGAAACATCCCAATCATGGATGAATCATAGATCACAATGATCACATCATGGATCCAACACGAGTTTCATCCAACATGATCCATCCATTGCCAATTTGATGGAATATGACATAATATGACATAAATATGGGGATGTATCAAAATCAATCTTGCTATATTTGGGGGGATGAACATCCATTTACCAGTTATTTGGGGTTCACTAGGGTACCAGTCGGTTTTGACTACCCATCTGATCCGACGTTCGAGGTCTATCAGCTGGTCGTACCTTTGAATCCCGGCGAATTGTTGGTGGTCGACAACCGAGCGATAGCCCATGGTCGCCGTCCTTATGAATCCGGAGATCCACGAGTGATGTGGAGAAAAAACTATGTGGGGAATGGCGAGCTTGAGGCTCAGTTGAAAACTGGCATGTGTGCAGCATTTTCGAGCATGTTTGATGGACTTCACAGTATGTTTGATCCCATGTCTATTGATACCCACAAGCTGAAGATTTGAATCACTTTAATCTGGCCTGGTGGTTGTACAGCGTAGATTCTCACAGATGAACATCGTGAGAGTACAGTAAACGAATCCAGGAAGCGTCGAAAAGAGTCAGAGACACAATGGGATCAAGATGCATAGGGAAGCATCAGCATCATCAGTGACAGTGAAAGTTGTTGAAGTACAAACAAATGGCCACCAGCTGAGAAGATATTGAAACATAGAAGATAGTGGCATGACTCAGACGCCTAATCTTGCCCGGGTCAAGCGCTTGGGATGGACGGCATCATTTGCGCCGCAAACCTTGCCTGTGCATGGTGTGGGCAGCAGAGTTGCTTGTTTCCTCAAGCCACCGGCTGATAGGGCAGGTGTACCAATCAGTACACCTGTGGGTTGTTGAAAACGAAGGCGACTGGGCCATCCAGTCGGGTTCTTCTTCCTCTGTTCAAAAGTTCCGGAAGTTGATCAGAAAATCCGTAGAAATCCGTGCGTTCTGGTTTGGCACAACCCTGACCCGACTGAAGTCTTTTGAAAGTGCAAATTGGCCGCCACGTATCGAGAAAGTGCCTGCATCTGATGACGCACATTGCACGAATTTACACGGACCAGGGCATGAGGACAACATATTTGAAGATTTTTGAAGACAAAGGGGACAAGAACCTGGGTTGGGTGATATCAACCGTGATGGACCATAATTTGCAAAGATTTGCTACTCTTATGTTCTCGAGGCTCAAGATAATTATCTGAAGATCACATGTGGGGCAGGAATTGTCATGGCTTTTGGGCATTGGTCTGTCCATGTTTGCCACTACCTCGAGTCTCGTGTCTGAAGGAAGTGCAACAACCGCTCGATTTCGAGCCGGGGGAATACCGGGACTATGAGGAAAAGGAGGCTGTTGTGTCGGACAGTCACGCAGGGGAGCACCTGTTCATTTGGGCTTTAAAGCAGTGGCAACATTTGGGTTCCCATCAGCATGCGAAAGCACTTGCAAGGCAGGGTCGACTTCAGGTGAACGGCCAATCTGTGGCCGACTTTCACCGCCTCAGTGCGGGTGATCAAGTGACCTTGCGCTTAGATCCGCATGTGCTGTCACTGAAGCACACCTTTCTTCGTCGCCAAATGGTCGCATCAGGGCAGAGTGGGATGCGTTTGGAAGCTTTCTGCAGGACTTGTTTTCATGACATCCTCACTTCACGTCGAAGTATTCGAGAAGCCATCAAACAAGGCAGTGTACGAGTGAATGGGGAGCAGGTCGAACACACTCGCATGCTGCAGGAGGGAACTTGTGTTGAGGTGGCATTGCCTGCTATTCAGGCATTGCATGGTTTGTGTCCTAAGAACTGCTGGCCTCGTATCATCTATGAGGATGACATGCTCGCTGTGGTTTGGAAGCATGCGAACGTGAAGTCCATGGGTGGTTGGCAAACAGCCGAGAATGGCGCAAGGCTTCAAGTGAAACCATCCCATGAAGCTGACGCCTTTGATGAGCGCCTGAAGTCGATACATCGCCTGGATAAACCCGTTGCAGGCTTGATGCTCATGGCCAAGACCTATTCAGCTCATCGATCTTTGATGCAATGGCTAAAAGAGCGTCGGAATATCTCCAAGGTATATCGAGCAATTGTCTTTGGCAACCCCTTGCAAGGATATCAAGGTGCCCTGACCGACCAGGCATGTCAGACATGGCAGTTCCAAGTGGACAGTGCAGTGGATGGCCGGGCAGCTTTGACATTGGGTCGGATTTTGGAAGAACTCGATGGCTTTCATGTTGTGGAGTTGAGCCCCATCACAGGGCGCAGACACCAGTTGCGCATTCATATGGCTTCACTCGGCTGCCCCATTGTGGGAGACACTGACTATGGAAGTAGAAGCCGTGCATCTGGGATTTTGTTGGCTGCTGTTGAACTTAAGTTTCTACATCCAGCAAAGCAGCTTGAATCTCCGCAGATGCTGGAGTTTCATGAAGAGGAGCCTCCTCACTTCAAGAGCTGGCGGGAGAAGCTGTCAGGTTCTCTCTGAGCGTTGCATATGCTGCAAGATCAGCAAGACTGGAGGAAGATCAGGAATCTCATGGAATCTCCGTGGTGGCACATCCCATTCCATGATTTGGCCATCAGAAGTGGCGGTCACATTGCTGCATCAGCCTGGTACCTGCAAGGTACTTTGGCAGCACAGAGAACTTTTTTTTGCTGTGCATTAAAGGGAGCAAGATTGCACTGATTGTTCCTTGAGCTAGATGTTGATCCCATCAAAGATCATCACAGCACATTGAGCAGCATCAAACAATACTAATACTAACCACTCTTGTGTGCAAAGCATCCCTGGCATTCCCTGGCCAAGTTTGAAAATGACATGAAACACGACCTGAAAGAGTCCGGAAATCGGTGGCATCTAATTGACATCCTTGTTGGATTTGTTGGTCTTCAAACGTCTTTAACACTTGGGTCCTTGGGTCCACGAATCAACAAGTCGAAAGCAGCACAATTTGAAGATGTGACGCCCTTTCCAGGACTCGGCCACGATGATCACGATGGGATGCGGTTGAAGCAGGAGCTGCTTTGTCCACAGGCTCTCCAGGTGTTGCTTGAGACTTCACTGCAGTCACGTGTGGAGGACATTGCCAAGACAGCTGCAAAGTGCTCAAACAAAAAATGCTGAGACATGGTGTAATTCTTTGCATATTATTGCAAAACACGTAACATGCATCCCCCGCAAATTTGTTGTCAGCACCCCATGCTAATCTAAAACTTTCAGCACCTGAATCAACAAAGGCCAGAATTCATTCCAACTTAAGCCAAAAACCATTTCAACAACAGGCAGCGGTTTTCCAGCTACGAAAAGAGCGGCAAGACCTTTGAAAAAGCCGGGCTGTCACCTTGGGCCCCCCACGCTGATACCATCAGAAATTCAGCGCTTGGCATCCCAAAATGGATGCTTCACGACCTGCCATGGCGTTGCAAGCTCTTCAGGTTGCACAGGCCATTGGATATTTTGAGTTTCAACCGTGGAATATCTTGCCATCTCTAGTTTTCCTTCCGTACATTGCACGTTCTATGCTTCACATTCCTTGTTGCAGAAAGACCATCCTGTGCACACATCCCATTTTGGTTGGTTATTTTGGTTACTTTATTCATATTCATACCGTCTTGGTTGCTTCATTCATCCCATTTTTGCTGAGTCATCTGAGTCATTCCACCCATTTTCGTTCGTCCCCTTGACCTGAGGCACCGAGGCCGAAAGCCAGGCCTGAAAGGCAGCCTGTGCCGAGGAGTCTTGCGCCATTGACCTTGGCATCCTCTGCTGTAATCTCTGCCGGCTGGCCAGGGAGAAACTGCTTAAAGGCCTGAGAGCAAGCCTGAAGTGTTTCACAGATCCTGACAAAGTGACCTGAGTTGCTGAATTGAATACAGACAAAGCATGACAAAGCTGTTTGAAGACTGAAGATTTCGCTGAACTGACCATGACATCAAGCCATACCAAGCCAGATTGATGCCTGCCTCAACACACCAGGCTCAGTGCAGGTCTGCTGTTCGCAGATCTGCAGCTACAGTTGCTCCTTGAACAAATTAAATGACTGTGATTGACTGTGTGCTTTGTCACAACAGTGTTGCTGTGCATGCAGATTCAATGTCAATCTGCTTGGTTGTCACAAACTCACAGAAAACTGATTCGTTCCGGTGGCGGAATGGTCCTTTTAATGGTGAAATGCACAGATGACTTGACACAGAGGCAACAATCGGAAACGATCCGTGCACAACCCACGGCCAGTGAGGTCAAAGAGGTGAAAGAAGTCAAGGACGAGTTGAGAGGCGAGGTCAAAAGGCCAATCGAAGGCGATGTGATCGCGAAGCCATTTGGTTGCATTGGTCTCAGCCAGAAATCATTCAAAATCATCCAAAATGCAGCATTTTCCAATCAGAAATCCAAAGAAGGACCAACGTTCTGACTTTTGCGAGGAAACGATGGGAAAGAAGGAGAACTCACTTAAGTGTACTTACTTGCATTTGTGTGAAAGACAGACACAAGCTGGCACCAGGTTTGACCATGGCTGCCTGGTCATGTGGCTGCTACCACAACAAGCCTTACAGTCACTTGCCATCCGAAGATCTCACGGGGTCTTTCCCAGCGGATGTCAGGTTTTCACGCTGCTGGTTTCAACGACAAATCCACAGACCAGGTGTCTTGCTGTCTTGCTTCAATGACCATCCCCTATTTCCCCTGATTGTCTCAAATATCAACAGAATCACACCATGGAGGGATACCGGGATACCGCATTTCTAACCCAAAAATCATAGGTGTTGGTGACATATCCCAGTAAATATCCCAGTACTATCCAGTACTTCTCATCATTGTTCCATCATTTTTCCCAGGGATCCGCTACAACATCCCTCTGTTGGGTCGCCATCGCCAGCCCGATGCAGGTTGGCGACCTGGCTGAGTGAATGGGAAGGCGAAGCCTTCGGAAATCAAGAGACCAACTTCTGGCGTCAACGAATGATCGTGGTACCTCGACGGCGTCTTTATCTTTAATATGTTTCTATTAGATGGGATTTTCGATGGGAATTGAATGGGGGTTTAGTGTGATTTTAATATATTTTTGGGTTTAGTGATGTTTAGTGTGATTTAATGATTAGAATGGGAATATATGGGAATTCTCTGTGATTCCAATGGATTTCTGTCAGATTTTCATAGATATTTTCTAATGGGATTTCCTGGGATCAACGCTCCAAAATTGCCATTTTTCCCTCAGAGGCCATGAAGAGCCGTCTGGAAAAATTGGCCTTTGATCCTGGAGCTTGGGCTGCACATCATCGACTTGTGGAACATCTAAGGAACATGTGGAACTGCCTTGTGATCTAGGGGAATTGGATGGAATTCGATGTTTAGAATTACTATGAATGACTTCGCTTAGCCACAAGATGAGTGGATGTTGGGCAGATCCAGTGTGAATTCAGGCTCTGAAGCTGGTGACGAAGCACCGTTTCAGGTCTACTCAGTCCACAATTCGACCTTTGGCCATTCAGAGACCACACAGTTTTGCAGAGTTTACCCGGTTTACCGGTTTACCCGAAAGGATTCGAAAGGTGGATAGTACGCATTGCAGATCTGAGTCTTGAAGATTGTGCATCCAATCTGCGGTGAACAAAGTGGATACGGAATGATCGCAGATTCACAGGCTACTAGGTGCATATGGTGCATGAACAAGGCTCTTGGATGCTCTTGGCCGCCCTGCTCAGGAGCAATTCGAGCAAACCGTTGGCGGTCGCAATGGCACTCTGGCTGAACATACTGCTGACAGAGCCAAATCTGCAGTCCCGGAATCTCAGTTGGTGCATGGTGACATGGTGGCTTCGCCAAGGTATCTACGAGGTCCTTCAACCTGGAACCATTGACCGCTTTGCATTTAGACCACATCGTGAACAGTCCCGAGCCACAATCAAAAGGGTGCCTGGGCTGCCTTGGCCGAGCTTGAAATGGCATGTCTCTTGAGGTGTACAAATCTGAAAGAATCTGAAAGATGTTCTTGAGGTTTGGCGCTACACTCCTTCAAGGATTGGTACAGCGGGCTGCTATGAGCAAGCAGGCCAATGCTTTCCGTTGCCTGACACCGATTGCAAGTACGGAATTTGAGACATTCATAGTCAATCGAAAAGAGTCCAAAAGAGCCAATACCAGTGCCGCTGCAATTCCCATGTTGTTCTGCATCATCCAATCATGAAGTTGTCCGAGCAATAACAGTTCGAAGACAAGCGCACCACTAGCAACTACCAAAAATGATCGGACGATGCTCAATGGTTCCAGAACAATCAATGACAACATTCTCATGTGACAAAGCACAGTGCAACAGTGTCCTAATTTCATATTTTTTAAAATAGGAATCTGATTAGAACAGGATTTGGCCCGGACAGGTCTTGGTCATTGAACCTCAATCACCTGGCCTCGAAGCGTACTTCACACGACTGGGCTTCAGACACATCAAGGACAGATTCACAGTTCGAGACTTGGAGGGAGCTCTTGGACCAGTGTTGATCAGGTGATGCAATTTGGCACGTTACGAATTGGCCACTGGCTGGATTGACTATAGTTTACTCAGGATGATTGTTTGCAGACTGAAACATGACTTGAACAAAAAATTGAACAACCCCATTTTTCTAACAGAGAGATGGGATTCAACGGCAAGCCAGGCAACCCCAAAGGGATTGTGGATCCAGCTGCACTTCAGCCAGGAGGTGGATCCGTATCTTTGGATCCCTTCTGGACCACTGGACCAAGAGGTATCTCTGCGTTATGTTCTGCTGGAAGATGCTGACCATGAGAGGCCCAATTTGAGATGGCTTTCTTCTGGAGTCACATGCTCTTGTGAAATCTTGTGCATGCATGTTGAAGGAAGTTGAACCCTTGTACTGCCAGTACTGCCACAGTTTTTTTTTTTGTGTGTCCTGTTTTGGTGTTTGTTGTGGTACCATTGCTGACAAGATTTGTTTCACTTGTTTTCCCTTCCTTTTCCTTCCTTTTCCAAGAGTCACGCAAGCTGGCGATAGCTGGCTTGCAGGCTGTTGGCAGCATTCAAGCGACCTCCAGAGTGGACGGGTGTGACTGAGCAGTTCTATATGGCCTCGCGACAGGCAGGGATTCTCGGATCCACCTGCCGTCCAAAGGATCACATCCGTGGAGCAGATGTGCAGAAGAGCAATGACACTGCAATATATATAGAGGCACTGACTGCAAGGCTTTGGATTCTTGATATCATTGATATCCATTGGTATCCATTGATATCCATTGATACAGTATCCATTGATATCCATTGGGTCCATTGATATCCATTGATATCCATTGATATCCATTGATATCCATTGATATCCATTGATATCCATTGATATCCATTGATATCCATTGATATCCATTGATATCCATTGATATCCATTGATATCCATTGATATCCTTGATCCTCAATGGATTACGTTTCTCACTCTTGATCAGAGATGGCAAGTCAGCCCAAGAGCTCAGATTTGCTACAGGACACTTCCTCTCTGGATGTCTTGGCCCTTTTCACATGCAGCCGCGCTACTTACCGCCGTGGATTTGCACGGAGAATGCGACGAGAGAAGCCCAGTGCCCCATACAAGGCAGGGATTCAGGCACTTGAAACCTCGCTACTGCTCATGTTAGCTTCAAAGAGCATGGGAAATCAGCCCATGTCATATAGGATCATATAAGAATATAATAGAATATATCAGATCCATTGGGTCCCATAAGAAATGGCTCAGTTTTCTGATGCTTTATAGGTAGCAAAAATACCGCTACCCTTGAGACATCCAACAGGTGGACGTTGTCGAAGAAGTCGATCTCTCGGAGATCATGGCCATCATGCGAAGCCCTGAGAAGTTGGAGGAGGCCAGATACATTGACCATGTGGAGATTACTTTAATTGATGGTAAAATACATGTAAAATCATGTAAATACATGATCTGTGTAGATATACTATATATATATATTATATGATATACTGTATATTGTATCTTTAACATATTGATGTTTTTTGAGAAAAAGGTAGATCTATTTAATTGATACATGATCTGTAGATAATATGTATATATATATATATTATATATTTCGTTAATTTTGTTGGGAAAGAGGCAGATCGAGTGTTTACGAGCAAATGGTGGGTTCACTGTAGGCGCTCATACCCATACTGTCACATACACGATGGAATCATATGAGTCATATATGTATAGCGTGGCAAACCCACGAATAAGAAGCCATCCCCAATTTCAACAGTTGTTTAGGTTGAAAAACATGGGAAAAAACCTGCACCCAAGTGGAGGTTTATTGCACCGGTGTATTGTTGTTGGTTTTGCCTCATCAATCTGTTGTTGTAATTTGTTTGCCATCATATTTTTTTCTCATCACTGGGTTGGTTAAAGGGAAACATCAGGAAGCCGAACTATGGATGTTACCATGGTGAAATGTATTAAAATGACTAATTGAATATGGATTTTTACCATGGTAAAATGATGTAACATGTCCCATTTTGGTCATTTAACATTGTACCATGGTAAAATGTCCCATTGAACATTGGTTTCCCATTGATTTCCAATTGATTTCCAATTGATTTCCCATTAAATATGGTCATTTCAATAAGCCCCACCCCAGCAATGACAACGCCAGGTGAGCTGGGCTTCTGCTGAGGGCTTCGGTCAGGGGCCTTGGACCTCGCTGCCAGGGAACTTCTCTGGCGTGGGCCGCTGCAGCGCCTTGGCCAAAAATCCATCAAAACCCCCAAAGATCCCGTGGTTTATCATGGTTGATCATCATCAATGGGAATTTCAGGATCCTAAAATAGAGGTACGTTAGTACCATATAAGATATATAAGGCCATATTTTCTGGGGAAATTCCCACTGATCATCATGTTCTGACTTGAAATGGCCATTCTTGGGCGAATTTTCCCATTTGAAATCTTAGCCAGGATGGAAATGGATGGAAATGGGATATATACACTGATCCATTTCCAGACACAGCCACGACTTGGTCGGTTTGAGGTGTTTCACAGAAGGCCTTCCCACTGCCTGGCATCTTGTCTGAAGCTGTTCAGCAGCCAATTGCTTTGATTACATGATCAGATTTCGCCAAGGTTCAGGTCGCGGTTGTTTCCATTTCACAGCTCCTGTGCAAACTGCCCAACCGTTTGGCAATTTTTGATGCTGCAAGGGATCCACGGCCGAGGTTTACACCCATCTCTTGGCAAGATAGACTTTGTTGTAGAGTCACTGGAGTGGCAAATGAGGAGAGATCCCGCAACTCGCATGCACTTGGCAGCCAATCTGCCAGCTGCAAAGCAGTCGAGCAGCTGTATAATATCCTTCACAAAAAAACAGGAGAAGTATTCATATGTATTCATGAAGAAAGAGTCTTCTCAATCTATTATTCCATATTATTCCATTATAATTCCATAATATTCCATATAATTCCATTACTATTATATTCCATTATTATTCCATTATATATATAATATTCCACTGACTGTTTGAAATAAGCTCAACAGAAACCTAGCCGCTGGAGGTGTACTCCGTGTCGATCACCTGCACACTGGGTATCCTTGCAGAGGCTATGTGGGCACCAGTGACTCACCCTTCAAAACAGAACCGCGTGTAATTTTACAATATATATATATATGTGATACATGGTGATTCAAATTGCCAAAGATTTGAATCCAGATGCAAAAACATCACCATCTTCCAGATCCGATCGCGATGCCTTGTGTTTGTTTTGATTGTGTTGCAGGTGCTGGAAGTCGCAAGAGATTTCTTCAATACCTTCCGAATCCGAGCAGCTTTTCATCATAATCCTCTGGCCTGGGACATCGAGGTACGGAGATTTGTCGAATGATCAGATTCCTGGAATTCTTTGTCGATCCTCGAATGTCATCAAGAAAGTACCGGAGGAGAGGAGGTATGACATGAATATCATTGAATATCATTGAATATCATTGAATATCATTGAATATCATTGAATATCATTGAATATCATTGAATATCATTGAATCTATAATTCCCAGCAATGATCCAATGATTTTAATGTACAGGTCACTAAAAAACAGTTGATTCATGTTGATTCACAGTGTTTTTTTGATGTTTTTTGTATGTTTTTTGCCATGCGAAGCATGGATCCTAAAAATGTTGACAGGTGGTCCAGTCGGACGGGCTCGCATTAGCTTCCATGGAGAGTCCACCGCTTCCAGGCACTGGCGATGTTGCCAATCTCTGGCAGTGGCAGTTGGATCAGCTGTGAATATATGTGAATATATATGTGAATATATATGTGAATATATATGTGAATATATATATATATGTGAATATCCTCAAGTTTCATCCATAGTGTCAATATGTTTGTCAATATGTTTGTCAATATGTTTGTCAATATGTTTGTCAATATGTTTATCAATATGTTTGTCAATATTTGTCAATATTCCATGATACTCCATGTATTTTCATGGATCCATTTGCACCCCAGGACGTCCAACTCATGACTCCCAGGTGATGAGAAGAAGAGACCAGATGACCTGGACATCTTCTGATCGCCGTGTACGCCATGGATGCTGCAGTTGCTTACTGGTTTGCAGAAGCAATACCATCGTTCCCGCTACACTTTTTCCCAAGAAGAGGACAAGTGATACAAGTCTTAGATAGTCTTAGTGTATTCGAGCATGGCACATGTTCACAAGCGTTGTCTCTGGTGAAGAACGAATTTAATCAATTTTACACTTCTTTACAAGATTTCGCAATCCTTGTAATTAGTGGCTGTGGTGACTTCTGAGTAGTGATCGTAGCGCAAAGCATCATTCAAGAATCGCACAGCTGGTTGTGAGACGTTTTAAGCTGCGCGCAACAAGATGTTGTGCTTGCCATAGCTTCGCCGCATGAGCGAAAGAGTAGATCAGCTCAGTAGATCTCCATAGGATCTCCATGATCTCCGTCCCATTGGTGAAGTCCAAAGCACTTCGACCAAATTCTTCCCAGCTGGGAGCTGGCCATTTTTTTTTAGCGGTGAGCTGAGTCACCCAGCTACACCCACCAAGCTGCAGCACTGGTTGGGAAGCACGACACGGCAGACTTGCGCTTTGCCAAATGGTGTCGGATTGAAGCCAAATCCACAAGAATCCAAAAGAGGAAGAAGACCAGTGACTACACAGAATTACTTTGAGTGGAGCTGTTGATTAGTTTGCGTTTCCTCCATTCATGGCTCCCACTCACTTTCAAATCCATCTGCAGTGAGGATCAAAGATAGATTCACATGATTTACCAAAGTATAATCAGCATATTCAGCTGCAGTTGGTTTTTGTAAACTGAACGCATGTCGCATCGATAAAGATGTTGTGTAAGAATGTGTAAGATTCCATCTCAAGTGGAGCTAAGTGCATAGGATTCCATAGATATCCAGATATCCATACTACCACATACTACCACTAGGCATCCACAGGTCATGCCAGGTTTGGCTTCAAGCTGCCTTCGCCCAGCCGCGCAGCTTGATGTACAGAGCCAGTCAGAAGTCACCAAGTCAAACGTGACATCCTCAGACTGGGAACAGGATGCAATCCATCAAAGGCCTCCATCCGAAACAAGTGATGCGAACATATCTGAGAAATATGTGATGTAATATGATGTAATATGATGTAATATGATGTAATATGATGTAATATGATGTAATATGATGTAATATGATGTAATATGATGTAATATGATGTAATATGATGTAATATGATGTAATATGATGTAATATGATGTAATATGATGTAATTATGCGATATTATATGTATATTAACTATGATAATACAATATATTTTATTATAGTATAGTATAGTGAGAAGTCAGAATGAAACGGGATACATTGGGATATATTAAGATTATAAAGCCAACTATATCTGGGTCTGTCTGGACAAAAGGGTAGACAGTGGTATACCCCCAGTTCATTGCCATTTTTATAGGGAAAATGATGATATAACCAGTAGATGGAATAGACTACCCACTTTTGTGAATGTTCATCAGAGATTCACTGCAATTAGAAGATATGACTAAGATATGTGCATCATGAAGTGAGAAAGGTTGTGCTGGGGTCCTGTGGTCAGACAAGATAATGCATGTGCACTTTGTCCTTCATGGTTGATGTGTTCCAGAAGTGAATTAGCAATGATCTGCAAGCATTGCATCGTTGAGTCTTTGAGACCTCCGATTCTGATCAATTCAGTCGCGCATGAGACAAGCAGGGACAAGCTACATACAAGCTGCATAGCCTTGATTTTTCAAAAGCTTGTCCATCGCTCGCCGGTGCCCATTCCATTTTGGCTGCAGAGATCGTTTCACATGGGATCCGACAAATACACAAATACTTGCAAATACCATAAGATACTGCAGATATCCAGCTCAAACTTCAACTTAGCAGCTGGATCAAGCAACAAGCATCAGGGCCCTCGGTTGAAAGAGTTGCAGCATCAGTCCTTGAGAATCTTGCCATCCAGGTTGTTGTTGCCGAAGAGTTCAAACACATCACATCAACAGCTTTTGTCACCATGTCAATTCATCGCGTCCTGCGGTCTATAGATCCGGAAGTGGAAACTGAACACTTCGAGGCTCAGATTGGTTCGCATGATTTTCTAGAAATGAACATCAGTGTCAAAGGGATGGAAATGTCATGAAATGTCCATGTCTCCATGCGTGCTCCTTCTGCTAATTTTTGCAAAGTTGCGCCGTTTTTCTCCTGTTTTGGAGTGTTTCATGGCATTGGCATGATCCAAGCACATGTCAAACCATGGGTCATCATTTATCATAATCATCATATTTATCATAGTCCCTTTGTACTTGCAGTATGGACACTTCAAGTCCAAAGGGTGCAGGATCGCAGGAATCGACCAGAACCCGTCGGAACCCATTGCTTTTTCCACCGGTGAGGCCTCTGAGTTACGCAAACTCAGTGGGGAGCTGCTGCGAGAAAGGCGAAAGCTCTTGGCACAGCTGCAGCAGAGGGAACAAAGCTGCACTGAATTGCTCAGCACCTTGGTTTGAACTGAGAAGATCTGGAAAGATTTGGAAAGATGACTTGTGAAAGATTCTTGAAAAGGCACTGAATGGATCTGAATGGGAGGTACTAGTAGGATGAAGATGGCTAAGGTGTGGAGGTGTTGTACTCGTACTGAGTTTGGATAATTTTGCTGACTCTTTAAGTCTTTTGATTGTTGACTGAAAGGGAAGAAACAGAAGAGTGAATGTGGTCAAAGTGCGCAGTTTTCGCCGAGGTGAGAATTTTGAGCTGAAAACCCTGCAGTCGCGTTTGTTCTCGGCTTTGGATCGCGCAAAGATTGACGTCCATGAATTTCTGAAGGAAGATGAGCGCAAGGTTCGAATGGCAGAGGCCAGCATTGGGCGACAGAGAATGCCTACAGTCCTACACTTAAGAGTTTCACTTCTAGGTCTTTCGTAGCTTTTCCGAGTTTTTCCGTGTTTTTCCGCGTGTTTCCATGTTTTTCCGCGTTTTCCCCCCCCCACACCCCCCCACACCCCTCCACATTTCTCCACATGTTTCCACATTTCTCCACATTTTTCCACATGTTTCCACATTTCGCAATTCTTTCACTTCGATCGACCTGGATATGTGATGATATGTGTTTGGTTTATTTTGGCTTTTCCCTCGTTTGAGGTGGACAAGCAATTGGAAGATGAACTGCGGCAGATGCACGCTGTTGTTGGCGACCAGCAGAAACGTTTGGATGCGCTGGTCCTTGAGAATGAAAGGCTTCGCGAACAATTGCAGGCCGCCGCCGGAGTTTCGCTTGGTTTTTGGGAGGTGTTCACAGTTTTGCACAGCCAATAGGATTCCTATTGGATTCCGATTGGTAAAGGGAAGTTTCCAGGAATCCAAGTTTCCATAGCTATTTTGCAGCTGCGTTCCTGTACTACGACGCAATGGACTGTAGGCGAAAGATTTGCCGCAGCCTACAGATGAGCCTGCAAAGATGCCATGCGAGGCCTTCCAGGCCATATGTTATTCGGTCGGGCGCGTTCCTTTGCCCACAAAACATTTGCATGTTGCAGTACAGACAGACTCATCAAGCACCGTAAACAAATGCCCTACATATTCAAAACATGTTTGACACAAATGTGACACACATGTGTGTGATCATGTTTGCACCCATGAGCCATGCCTGGTTCCTATGCCACTGTCGGAGCCACAGGAGATGCCAGCCGAGGCATCCCTCGGTGCGGCGCCGCCATCCCCGGCGGCTCCGGAGGCTCCGGAGGCACCGAAGCCGCGGCCCTGGCCGCTGCGGGCATCGGTGGCGCCGCTGCGCAACGCGAAAGCCCTGGCAGAGATCCGCCACGTGCGATTGGGGGTGCGGCTGATGCCCACTGCCCTGCGATCAAATGGTCGAGCTGTGGAAAAACTCGAGGTTGGAGGGTTGTGGTTCTTGGATTGGTCATTGGAAGTTGTCTTGATGCTTGTTCAATTCAAGATAGTCAAGACAGTGGCAATAGTGATGCAGAGTTTCATGGATTGTAGGGATTCAGATCATTTGCTGAGAGAAATTCTTCAGTGGCGCCAGGTGAGTTTGAGCTTGGCAGAACCTGCGGAAGCAGTGCTGAAGCTGCTGCTTGATGCTGGGCTGTTTTGGCCTCGAGCAGCTTCCAGCCTGGGACCTGCGCAGGTGGGAAACCTTGAGCTCAACCGTTGGATGGTGAAGCTATGGAGATTGAAAGTATTGAAAGGTGGTAATGCATGGGTGATGCAGTTGATTGCAGCAATTGATGTCATACAGACACCAGCTACCAGGAGGGTGGGCTTCGTGAAGGGCATTTCTTGCTGAATGGTAAAGCCCTGAGCCTCGATCTTCCTTTGCAAGATCAGGGTGTGCAGGAGCCGATGTCACTCTAGAAAAACTGGAAGGCAACAGGATACCCGGTTTTGCAGCAGAACTGGTGTGTGCAGATATCTCAAGTTGAAGCTACTTGAATAGATACTGTAGCTTGCAGTGAGACGCAGTGAGTATCTCTTCTCTTTTCTTGTAGCACTGCTACACCAAAAACACACCACGCCGTGGTGTAAAGGAGGGAAGCGAGCTGCGCTTGGTCAAGGGCCGCAAGGCCATGGGCCAGCTGGCATGTCAGGGCGTCTTCGCACCTCGACTTCCACGGGGCATCTTGATGAGTGCCGAACCCTGGGAACCCAGGACTAGCAGGACTCGGATTTTGCCTTGAAATGCATCTGGATGTGGCATGGACCTTTGGATGGCGCTGAGTCAAAACCGATTGCACAGTTTTTTTGGCATGGTTCGGTTACAGAGTCCCTGTACTGTATCCGAAGTGCATTTGTAGGCGGAAAACAGCACAACGGCTCGCAGGAAGGCAGCAGTTGACTTCTTTGACAAAGTCAACAATGTCGACATGGACCACATGGCAAAGATCACCATGATCAAGTTGCTTTGCTGAAGTTTGTGCATCGATGGCCAGAAATGCAGGCAAGTTTGTAGCCATCCATCTCACCACAGCCATACAGGGCTTAAATTTGAGACCACGCCCATGTCCACTGCGGAGTGAGAAAGAGAGAGGGAGAGATCAGATAATTGACAGGCTTACAGTACTTAAATGAAGGTGTGTTCCCTTTTCAGAACCCACATAGAATATATTGTATACAAGTTTGCATCCACAGCGAGCTGAGACGTGGCCAGACGAAGCCCTTCTACAAGACTGAGCCGGTCTGAGAGCAAATTGTTTCGTGGGCCTTGGTCCATGAATGGTCCTTGACGCTTTACAGAGAAATGTTGATCCAGCTTGAAATTTGAAATTGCACACATTGAAGGATACAAAAGCCTTGTCTATGAGTTTGTGCAGCGACCACCTCCACTACACAACTAACCTCAAGAGCTTCGTGATTGCAGTAGCGTGCTGTGTTTAAAAACATAGGCACATTGTAACAAGATGCTTCTCAGCGGCCCCAGAAACCGCTCAATTCCAAGCTTGCTAAATTGTCAAATCCTGAGAAAACCAACCAAAACAACTGGAAATCAACATGTCCACAATCCAGATTCTTTGATTATATCCTGACTGATGTCTGGGGCGGCTGCTGCAGTTCGGAGAAAATTGCTGACTGCTGTGAGCAAAAAATACTCTTCTGAAGAGTTTGCCTGAACTGAACCGTCACTGAGTAAGAATCTGGGTGAACATCTACAGCAACTCCAGTGTGGTTCAAGCTTGTGACATCTTGTGACTTGGGTGTCCAGGAGATTGCAGCCTATCTCAGCAAAATCCTGCTGCTGGCGACATGGCTTGGTCAGAACCTCGAAGATGCGCAATGCGGCGCTTCGTGGGATCAGTTTGAGAGATTGGGATGCCCATCATTCAGCCACACATGCGCATCAGTTTGTGATCTGCCAATCGCTGAGTTGACATTTGCAGTTTTGCTGTGTTTTTACATGGTGAATTGCCGCAGCATTCTTGATTCATTTTAATAGGGGCAGCTTTTGCAAAGTTGTAGCAATGAGCTCCGACTCTTTTAGCCGAGTGGGTGTGGCCGGACTGGTGGCTGGAGCCGCTGCCACCGCCTTTGTTGGCCCTGCGTTGAGTCGCAGTGCTCCCTCCCCAGCTGGAGCCGCCCCAGCTTTCCGTGGGACTTCCCAATCCACCGCGTCTGGGGTCAGCTTCGGTACTGCTGCGTTGGGCACAGCCACCCTGGCTGCCGTTGCCACCAGCGCCCGAAAGCAACGCACCAGCCGTACGGCCAAAGTGGTTCGCCAGCAAGCGCCGCCCAGCACTGCAGTGGCGGAGCGCAAGACGGAGGATCTCACAGGTGCCTTGCCTGACTGCCCCGGCACCATTTGGAATGCAGAGGACATTGACATCAAGAAGCTTCCTCCAGTGAAGCAGACAGCACCTTTGATCATTGATGCGGCCGAGTTGGGAGATGAACTGAAGAAGGGCACGGAGAAACAATGGGTTGCAGCCCAGAAGGACAAGATCATGGCCCAGTTGCAGGATCATGGTGCCATTTGGTTCCGCAACTTTGAAACCACCAAGCAGCCAGATGGTTTCAGGGAGTTCTATGAGGCCTTGCAGTTGAACCCTTGCCTGGATCCCATCCACACCTCCGGTCTCCGGGCCATGGAGGAGAAGAAACATGCCGTCTACGAGGCCGTGAACAAGCCATCCCTGGCAGGGCACTTTGTGGGGCTCCACAACGAATCCACCTTTGTGAAGACCGCGACCTATGGAGCTTTCGTGTGCTTCAAGCAGGCCTCTGAAGGTGGCGGTGAATTTTTGATTGCCGATGGAGCCAAGATCTTGGAGGACATGGACCCGGCTGTTTTGGAGAGGATCTACACCAACAAGGTCCGTATCTCCGTGAGCAACTTGGATCTCAACTTCTTGGGATCTTTGCCCGACGGCATGAGGGAATCCGCCTCGGACTTCTTCCAAGACTTGATCTTCAAGGTCGTGGCACCCAAGTTCGACATGGATTTGGAGATGGTTTACGGTGCCGACCAGTCCAATCCCTATCGCCTGCAAGCCATTGAGCATGCACAGTCGCCAATCAACAAGCACCCTGTGACAGGCAAGGTGGCGCTAAGCTGAGGAAAAGAATGAAAAACATAATATCTAAAATCATACATGTTCCTGATATATCTAAAATCATACATGTTCCTGATATTTGCCTTTTACACATTTAGTATCCTTTCATTGTTGGTTTTTCACTGCCGACTTCTGGGGCTTTGCTGACATTGAAATCCCAACGTGTGGGAGCCTTGAGGCCAGCCAGTTTGGTTCTGCAACTTGCACAACCACAGCCGCTACCTGCGGGACAGGCGTCCGTGCACTGTGCCAGAGGTTGGTATGACGGACGTAGCTTGACTGCAAGTCATTGTTGATCATTGTTGCATATTGTCGATGTCTTTACTCTTTGCAAGTTCCCTGGCAAACACATCTGTAGGTTGGGAGTCATGTTTGGGCCATTTGGATGCTTCAAGTCGCAAGCAAGTCATGTTCCCCATATTTTTCATGATTTTTCCACCATGTTTTGAGGTCTCAAAATTGTGTCAATGGGAAACACGTGGAAAAACGGAGATGTTCTGAGGTCTACAGCGGAGACCTGTCGGCCATCCCTTATGACGACGTCCGACACATCAACGAGGTTTGCGAGAAGAACATCCAAGTCATGGCCATGAAGGACAGAATGTCAAACATGGTTATGTGTGGTTATGTATGTATGGTTATGTAATGTATACTAACCCCTTTCGGTCCCCATAAACTATAGGAAACTGTTTTGCAAAGATATTTGGTTACTTTAACTTCTCGTTTTGGCACATGTTTGGATATGTTTGGTGTGTTAAAACATGTCCCTTTCTTGGGGGCCATCTCACAGTCACCCTCAAGGAGGGTGACGTGGTCCTGCTGGACAACTACCGCGTTCTCCATGGCCGCAACACCTTCAAGGGCGACCGCAAGCATGCCGTGACCTGGTTTGAGTCTTGTGGCGAGCCTCTGGCGAACAACCAGAAGCAGAAACCAGATGACTTCATGAATGAACTCATCAACAAGACCTTGGTCTAAGCAGCGCCTCGAGTGTGGCTCGAGTACACACAACAAAAAAGTGACACCCGATGACACCCGTGAGTCAGATGTTGTTGGCACCGCAAAAATTGCGATGACGCACCCATTCTCCGTCATGAAGATCATAGAGCCAACCAAGTTTTTAAACTTTGTTGTTGATTGATTGATCGATTGATTTAAAGCAAACTCACTTGACCGATGACATTGATATAATCACATGATTTTGGTCGATAAAATTGTGTTTTTGGTAGCCAGTGTTGCAGCACAAGTTGTCGTTGCAAATGATCTTCCATCAGTTTTGTGTGTAACTTGCCCCTTACACGATGCCATCGTTGGCTGCACCGCGAAGGGCCTTTTTACATGACACATACCCATGCAGGGCAGTCGAGAAAAAGCTGATGTGCAAGTGAAAGTTTGATGTCACAGCTGATGTGAGATTATTCGTCTAGATTTGGCAACCTAAGATTTGCAGCTTAAGCTGTTGAGTTTGAAGTTGCCCCTCCTGAGGTTCGAAACAGGCATTTGAGCCGCTGATGCAACGAATCGAAAAAAAGCTGGAGGTCCAGTCTAAACGCGTTGTTTTTTTCGCTTTCTGCGAACATCGATTGTTCCTAAAGCATACAGTACTGTACCTTAGACTTCTGAAAGGACTGATTGAATTGCCAAAGACAGCGCTGTCTAGGTCCTGAACATGTTCTCATGATTGCCATGCCATGTTTAATTACATAGAATTACATGACATACTCTAGTTGGCTATGCTTTTTGCCGCTGCATTTTGTTCACAGCCTAACACTAACTTGCGTTTTTGTCGCATCCGCCCCCACGCTTTCCTCGCTTCTCTTTCGCTGGGATGCCAAGGTCTCGCAATTGATAACCGTCCTTGGACTTAGCCTAGGTCATGTTGATCCACTAAAACGGTTGTGTTTGGAACTGTCAGACTGACGGCATCAAAAGAATTCTATGAACTTGGCTTCCTACCTTTGAGTTGTGCACCTGCAGCCATGAGGGGTACAGTCAAAGCCAGGTTGGTATTTGGGTATTGTTTGGCCTTTGCTCGATAGATTGGACAAGAACTGAAAGGATGGCTCGTTGCCTCCAAATTCCATCATGCCATGCTCAATGTGTTCTGGATTCCCTTATAATCCCGTATCCCAGGAAAGCCAAATATCTTTCATTTGACGTCAATAATTTATATGATTGTAGTATATTGTAGTCACACCGACACATTCGCATCAAACTTCAGGTGTGTGAACAAACATGGGTCGGGCGCTTGGAGATCTTTGGAGATTGCTGGAGCCGTGGTCATTTTAACAAGACACCAAACTACTATGATGTCAAACAATCAGATTCTGGGTGAGCATGTGTGAGTTTACCTTCACACTATTTCTTGTGAAACATTCATTCAGAATTCGATTCTAAATCATCTAAATCTCTCCTTGCATTGCACGCAGAAGCTTCTTGTTTGAGTGGCATTTTATCATATTTTATTGAGCTTGGTGCAGAAACTTCGGGTTCGAGGGGATTTTGTGGTGTCGCCGGGCACTGTTGTCAGCCACGTGGTGCCGGCTCCCACGGCGCGTGGGCGGCCGCATTGGCATCGGCTGGCGGATGGCGCTTGAAGTGGATGAACTCTGCAGCGGCCTAACCCGCAGAGCCGGAGGTCTGGCCCCGGCAGGTGCCCCGGCAGCCCTGGCTGCATCACCTGCAGCACCGAAGAAGGAAAAGGAACCGAAGAAGGAAAAGGTTGCGAAGGAGAAGCCCACCTGGGGTGAGCCTGGAAAGGGCAAGGAGAAGAAAGAAAAAGCCAAGACCAAAGTTGTAGAAGAAGAGATACAGGAAACACCACATGGAGAGAAGAAAGACATGACCCGTGTCATGGCAGCCGCCTACAATCCCAAGGCTGTAGAGTCTGCATGGGATGCATGGTGGGAGAAGAGAGGCTTCTTCACGCCAGATGCCAAAGCAGCACAGGGCAGTTGCGAATCAAAGAGGTTCGTGATGGTAATTCCTCCGCCGAACGTGACTGGCAAGTTGCACTTGGGTCATACCTTGACTGGTGCCATTGAGGATGCCCTCACACGGTGGCACCGCATGTGCGGAAATGCCACTCTTTGGGTGCCAGGTGTTGACCATGCGGGCATTGCAACTCAGAGTATCGTGGAGCGTCGCCTTCTGAAAGAACAGAAGTTGACTCGTCATGACTTGGGCCGAGAAGAGTTCTTGAAACACGTATGGGCCTGGAAGGAGATGAACGCAGGCCACATCAAGAAGCAGTTGCAGCGCATCGCAGCTTCAGTGGACTGGACACGTGAAAGATTCACCATGGATGATCGTTGTGCCCGTGCAGTGGAGGAAGCCTTCATCCGATTCCACGATCAGGGTTTGATCTATCGAGACAATCGCTTGGTGAATTGGTGCCCTTATTTGCGCACTGCCCTGTCGGATCTTGAAGTGGACTATGAGGAGATTCCTGGCAAAACCTATGTGACCATTCCAGGCTTTGATGGCAAAGTGGAGGTTGGCGTGCTGTGCGAATTCAAGTACATGATCAAAGGAAGCAAGGATTCCCTGACAGTGGCTACCACGCGATTGGAAACCATGCTTGGTGACACTGCCGTGGCTGTTCACCCGGATGACGAGAGATACAAGGCATTCCACGGCAAAGAGTTGGTACATCCCTTCTTTCCGGATCGCAAGATGGTGGTGGTGGCAGACACCATCGTGGAGAGAGATTTTGGTACTGGCTGTGTGAAGATCACACCGGCCCATGACCATAATGACTTTAAGACCGGGCAACGGCATGGCTTGCAGCAGATCAACATCTTTTCAGAGGATGGCAGTATCAATGAGCTGGGAGGAGAGTTTGCGGGCCAGCATCGCTTCCAGGCGCGAAGTACAGTGGAGGAGGCACTCAAGAAGAAGCTGGGACCCATAATTGTGTGACAAGATTGCAGGTGAGGTAAACACCTAATTGACCTAGATAATTATACGTATAATCTTAGATATAATGTAGTAAAAGACTGCTAAAGATACTCAAAATTTCAAGACCAAAAGGGAATTCTGATTGTTTGTGGAACCCCCAGGAGATGAGTTTGAAGGATTTTAAAGGCCGGTGATGGTGCAGTAGTGCGTTGTTTCCATGGCTTTTCCGAGGAAGGGCCTGTGGGTTGACAAGAAGTCACACTCCATGCGCTTGGGCTTTTGCTCCCGCTCCAAAGACATCATCGAGCCCTACCTGAAACCTCAATGGTGGATGAACTGCAAAAACTTGGCAGATCAAAGTGTAAACTTGACAAGTTGGCAAGACTTTCTTTGATCATAAAACCTTGCTGAACACAGATGAACACATTTTTGAAGCTTGATCATGTCCAAAGGTTCAATTGCAGTATGACAAGTCTTGTTCCAAAATGGATCACATCCGAGGTAAAGGCCGTGCGAAACGGAGATCTGAAGATCCTTCCAGAATTTCACCATCAAACTTGGTACAACTGGTTGGAGAACATCCAGGAGTGGTGCATCTCACGTCAGCTTTGGTGGGGTCACCGGATTCCAGCGTACAAGGTGATCAAACCCGCGCAGAAGGAGGAGAAGTGGTACACTGGCAAGACTGCAGCAGAAGCAGCTGCCAAAGCCGAGAAGGACTTGGGACAGAAGGCAAGGCGAGCCAAAAATCGGGGGTTCAAAGATGTTGAAAATGGGAACATTTGACTGTTTGGTAGCCCTAGCCCTGCTGCGCAGACAAGGCAACTTTGCAGGCTTCATGGGCCATGGGATGCCATGGGTGTTTTGTTCAGATTTTTGGTAAGTCAGTCTGACAGTTCTCAAGGTGGAAGTGGAGCAGGATGAGGACGTTTTGGACACGTGGTTTTCCTCCGGACTTTTCCCCTTCTCAGTGTTTGGATGGCCAGACACGGAGGGCAACGCAGACTTCAACTCTTTTTTCCCAACCTCGCTGTTGGAAACAGGCAGGGTTGGTGCCAGTCAGTGGTGTTTGTATGGAGAACACCTACTGTATGGGTCTAATTAACATCGATATTATTTACTTACTGCTTTGGCCTCTTTCTGTGTTAGGGGCCATAGCTACCCAGGATCTATTTGTAGAATCCTAGGAACTATTTATAGATATATATCATATTATTATAATTATATATATATATTATTAATATTATATTATATTATATTATATTACATTATATTATATTATATTACATTACATTATATTATATATATACACCGGCTATTGTGGGGTTCACCAGGGTACTAGGGTTGTGACCCATGGCCATGTGTTGCTGATTTCCAAAGATGTTACCCTTCTTGCGGCCGGCCTTCTGTGGACAGGACATGACATTCTGTTCTTTTGGGTAGCGCGGATGGTGATGATGTCTTTGGGCCTCACTGGCAAACTTCCATTCCACACGGTGTACTTGCATGCCACTTCGCATGTCATTGAGAGATTTTCTTTTGGTTGCGGTCAGCTGCGGATATTTGTTTTGCCCAGATGACAGTGTTGCAATTTTCCAGTTGCGCGGTACTTAATGGTCTTAATGTAAGTCACTTAATTTGTTGCCAAATTCAACCCCTTTGACTGGAACTTCTGTAGAATTTAAGGGATGTGTTTGGACCATTTTGGACCCATTTTCTATTCTGTCACGACCTGACCATGAAAGAAGGCCATGGTGCGTGATGCGCACGGCCGGAAGATGTCGAAGAGTCTGGGCAATGTGATCGACCCATTGGAAGTGATCGATGGCATCGATCTGGAGAATTTGCACAAGAAGCTCTATGAAGGAAATCTGCCAGATAAGGAGGGAAATGCTGAACAACCTACATTTTGAATAGATGTTGAATATATATATATATTCTGAAAATATATTCTGAATATATATATATATATTTGAATATGTTATAATATGTTGGGGAAGCAGCAAGTGCAAAGGTACAGCCAGGATGAGTTGGAACTGGAATGTTGGCCGGGATTCTTAGCCACACCGAACCCTGCAGGAGATTGAGAAGGCAAAGAAAGGTCAACAGGCAGATTATCCTGAGGGAATTCCTGAGTGTGGTGCAGATGCATTGCGCTTCGGCTTGTTAGCTTATACTCTCCAAGGAAGGAATGTGAACCTGGACATCAATCGTGTGGTGGGATATCGCCATTTCTGCAACAAAGTGTGGAATGCCACCAGATTTGGCTTGATGTACTTTGGCAACGATTTCGCTTTCCCAGGCGCATTGCGTTCTGACCTTCCCTTGGCTTGGGAGGATAGGTGGATCCTCTCCCGACTTTCCTTCTGTGCTCAGAAGACCAATGAAAGTCTGGAGAAGTATGAGTTTGCCAATGCCACCACAGCCACCTACAGTTTTTTCCTCTATGAGCTTTGCGATGTGTACTTGGAGCTCTTGAAGCCTCGCTTCTATGGTGAAACTACAGATGAAAAGATCCTGAAGGATCGAGGGGTGGCAAGGCATATTTTGTACGTGTGCCTCGATTGGTCCATGCGCCTGATGCATCCTTTGTTGCCATATCTCACAGAGGAGTTGTATCAAAGGCTACCTCCATCCCCCACGAAGTGTGAAAGCATCACAGTGGCGCCCTTCCCTACCGGTGTACATGCCTGGAGAAATGAAGCCTTGGAGAGAGAGATGGAGGAGTGTGACCTTTGAATTGCTTGGTTGATAATTTGAAGAACATGTCTAAGTGTTGTGTGAAAACTTCCAGAATCATCAGAATATATCAGAATCCAGCACCCGGGGTGATAACAAAACATGATATATGCCAAGCTTGCAGGTGACCAGCGAGATTGCCAAGCAGTTCCGCTCCCAAAAGACCTCCTTGGGCTTTTCCCCAGGTGCTCGACCAGATGCCTACATCAGGCATAGTGACAATGATTCCAGGGCGCAGGTGGAAAAGTTGAAGAATCAGATCTCCCGCATGGCAGGTTTTGGTTCGATCCAGGTGTTGGACGCCAATGCCCCAGACCCCCATGGCACCATGCGAGACGTGGTGAACGAGAAATGCTTGATCTACACCAAGGTAGAGGGCCTGGACTTGTCCGGTGAAAAGGTCAAGCTTCAAAAGAAGGTCTCTTGGCCTTGGCGCCTAACCATAGAAAAAAGATGGAAAAACCATAGAAAACAATGGTCATGGCCCGAAATATGATGACATTCAATTCTCAAATTGGGCGAATAGGGTTATGAATGATGACAATGGTTATGATATGTTATGATTCCATGCCACTGGTAAAACATGTTCGCTGCAACCCCTAGGTTTGCCTGCGGCCAATCCCGCATATCTTTTGACATGCTCAAATCCCTGCGCAGGGTTCAAGTTTTTGCTTTCCAAAACAACAAACACCAAAACCCTAAAACCTAAAACCCTAAAACCGAAAACCCTAAACCCTAAATTAAAACCCTAAATCCTGAAAACTATTAAATTAAAGTCAAAATCACTGCGTATAGCCAGTGTTTTCATTCATCCTCTGGTGACAAGTATATCATATTGTTTGGATCTGTTGTTTGAGTGTGGGCGAACCAGGGGGTTGCAGGGAACATGTTTCAATATGTTGAGCCTGGGCCGTAGCCACTGTGAATCAGCAATAGATTAGGGTTATTGCACGGTATTGCACTTAAAAGTTGTGCAGTGATGTATGCCAAGTATTTGACACCTTAAAGTGGTGAAAGAAAACCCAAGAAAGACTAGCATAGACAAACTGGTCAGTGCTTAGGTAACCTCTGCTCAGAAGATGGTGGAGTCATACAAGCAGAAGATGTCCGTGCCGGGCTACGAGGAGAAAGTGCCCGCAAATGTGCGAGAGCAAAACACGATGAAGATGCAGGCCTCTCAGAAAGAGCTTGAGGAATTGGAGAGAGCCTTGCAAAGTCTGGAGCAGGCCATGAACGGCAAATGACTGGTCAGCTAGACTTAGAGACTTAGATTCAAGCTGCGACTCAAGCTATGATTCAACTTCACTTCCTCAGGCAGTGGAGTTCGAGTCGACCATGTACAGACAACTCGTGAGTAAAAACTGAGTTTTTGATAGTTTTTGGAGCTGCCGTGTTGCCTGCCAGTTGGACTCACATGGGATGTCTCCGGATGTCTCCGGATGTCTCCGGATATGTAGCATGAGGCACAACATGTTGGAATTCCACTGTCATAGATTGTCTGGAGCACCATCACACATGATTGCTATCTGGTAAAGCTGGTGTATTCTGCCAAGAAAACAGACTCTGCCCTCAGGTTGTGGTGCAAGCTCTACTAAGTACGAAGCTGGATGCTAAGTGCAAGGGCAAAGCAGCTTCAACTTTAGATGGAATACAGATTAATACGGAATAATTACTTGTGATTCTTCATGACGGTCAATGAGTTTGTGACTTGACAGGGCTTGGCGTGCTACGCCTCTCTGAGTTCGTTCAAAGTCTTGAACATCTTGAAGTGCAACACTCCCATACAGTCCCTAGCAGCTGTTTGTTTGGCTGTGTGCCCAAATAACTTATATTTCGGCTCATGTCAGACGACATCTCGATATTAGCTGAACCAGTTGCCAGAGCTGCGCAGTTCATGAACCATCTCAAAAAGTCCCAGAAGGAATCAAGAATGACGAACATGCTCTGGAAGACCGCAAGATGGCAAGATGCACAATGTTGAACTTCAAATCAGAGTAGTGTTTTGCTCCATTTGAGTGCTTGGGTGCACTCTAAGCCCCAATTCTGTGTACTTGTTTCTTGCCTGCATCTTACCTCTGCAGCCTACATGTATGCACCCACACCCTGGGAAGTCGAGAAGTATTGAATATCGATGGAGTGCAACAATAACAGATGATAAAAATGGCAATCGATATCAGTTTGTGAAACAGTGACTACACGGTGGTGCAAGGACCCCGTGCGGACTAAATGAGCGCGCCCTGTGTGGGCTCGCGCCATTTTTGCCATGGGAGCCACATGCAGCGAGTGGCCGTCGCAGCAGGGGTCCTGTCGCTATGTGGGCTGGTGCCCAGTTTGTCCCTTGCACCACACGAGTTTTGTTGGAGTTTCTTTTAGGCACTGGGATAAAGCTCGTGGGCATAAGGCTCGTGTACTGTGCGACACAAAAGTTGAGCAGGTAGATGATGCATGCCAGCTTTGATTTTGTCAATCATGGCCATGGCGTTCTGTTGTATATCCAACCTAAACAGTTTGGCGCTTACACTCTTAGAATCGCTTAGATCTCTATAATTCTCTATAATCATCTTGATAATTTGGGAGTTCTCGCCAGTTTCAGCGTTGAGACCCAGAGGTTCACTCCTGCCATTCTTGATGCTGGCAGACACTGGAGAGGCGTCTTTCATCAGAGATGGGTTCTGCAAATGCACTGCGGCTCCCTCAACTGCAAGGAAAATACTATTCCGCCGTTCGTATGGAGCTCCCATTGCTCATCATTAAGAATCAAGACGGTCATAGATCGAACCAGTACTCATAAATGGTACTCGTAGTACGCATACGATGATATACATTGATATACTGTATATGCTGTACTTACATAGAATATCCGCAAGATCCGAAATCCACACAAGTTCCAAACCAAATCAATCCCCGTTTTGCACTTGGCCAAACCGCCAGATCCCCTTTGCCACGCTGAGAAGCCGCCGCGACCGCGGCGCCCGAAGGCAGCGATGGGTCCCGTGGCGCCAGCCGTGGCGCCGGCAGCGGCGCGGCCAGAGCCCAGCAGCTGGTCGGAAGTGCTGCAACAAATGGCACCAGAGGTGGCTGTGATTAGTGGATGTGATAGTGGATGATGTGGATTTGAATGGCAGGGAAGACTTTTTCCCTACTTTTTCTATATGCGTTTTTTTCATTTAGGCTGTGTTTTTGGAAAGGTGAAGATCTAGGATGTCACCAAGTCTGCAGTTGAAGTTGTTTGAGAAGAATCCGGCTCCTTTACTTTGAACAACTTGACCAGGTGTATCGTTGGTGTCAGCAGACATAAACAGTCAGCAGGCTGAGTGCCATGCCAGGAAAGTGCGCGAGGCCGCTCCCTTCCAGTCGCCATTGCCGTGCGAAGTTGGCTTCAGCGGGTCATAATTGGAGAAGGTTTGGGCGGTTTGGGCTTGATTTCACTTGGCACAGTTGGCACACTCTTGGTATGTTGTGGTGAGTTTCAACAAGTGCGAGAATGTGGTCCTTCACTGAAATTCAAAGATGTTCACACCTGGCTACTAAAGATGCGTCTGATGGTGTGGAGGTTTGTGCCCCTGGGCGGAAGCGGCTATGACCTCGGGTGCCCTAGCAGTGGTGTGCCTTCTCGAAAGCGATGAAGAGGACATGGCGATGTTTCGACGCCGGAGTGCACAGAAACATCATCACCATCTCACCATCACCACAGTCAGCACCTCTATCATCACCATGGGAGTACCCTACGGTGTTTTCCTTCCGAAGTATGGAGCACATGGAACACATCTAGGGATGATACCAGTTGTATCATATCCTCTAACATTTGCATCAATTAAGATCTACTAAAAGTGTGATAACATCAACTTGAGGGTTTAGGGGTCGTCAGGGACATCAATTAAATTTAAAAAGCTAAAATCAATATTAACATCCATTCACATCCACTCACATCCATCAAGTTCCATGAATATCCATTGATATCCATTAACTATCATTAACATTCACATCCATCCATGAACATGATCATTAACATTATCATTAACAAACATGAAACCATCATAAACCATCATTAACATTAAAATTACTAAACATTAGCATCAACATCCACCATCTGTCACCATCTGTCACCATCTGTCACCATCTGTCACCATCTGTCACCATCTGTCACCATTGATCCAAATCCAGGAGGTAAAGCAGCGCTTGTTGCAACATGGCCAGCTCTTGGGCCGAGCCAAGCCCCCCGCCTCGAAGAGCGCCACGACCGTGGCCCTGGCACCGCGCTGCCACGGCCTGCGAAGCTTGCGACGCTTCCACAAGGACGGGGGTTCCCCGGAAGCCTATGGAAATCCATGGATGTTTCCCATAAAATGATCTACAAATAGGATGTTAATGGATGTTCATGGATTTTCATGGATTTTGAATAATTTTCCAAATGTATCTATGTTAGTTGACTGGGTTTGGTACCTGAAATACCAACATGATGGGAACACATGGGAAACCCCGGTTTTGGAATCCACGGTTTATCATGATTGTTCGGGTTTAATCCCATGGTTTATCATAGGTTTACTATGGTTTATACATGTTTATACATGTTTATACTATGGTTTATACAATTTTATTATTTAACCTTTGCCCTGTACAACTGGCCATTGAGAGTGTACCCCATTTTCAGACAACCGTGTGGTCATGGGGTGATGTTGATGGTGGAAATGTGCCCAAATTGGCCATGAAGTATCTACTCTATGATGTGGTTGGGTGTTCTGTTTAGATGAGGCCAAGAAATCACAGAGTGGTCATACACCATGGAGGCCGACTTGCGTGCTTCAAAATCTTCAAAGACGGGATGGATCACCAGTGGACTGCTTGACTACTGTAGAGGTAACCTGCCATGTGTGTTTCTGGCTTGAACTCGTCCCACCGCTGCCTCAGGTGTGCGACTTTTTGGACCTGAACCTGGATGAAACGAAAGCGACTTGAACCACAAGCCTTCATGGATCATGTGGGATGGGGCCACAATGGGCCACAACTCACCTGAGTAGCTTTGCCAAGTGTAAATCTCCTGAGAAGGCTGATTGAATCACATCCAATTGCAACACTGACCGTCTTTGAGTTTTGATGGCAGAATATGGCAGGAATGACATGGATCTGGGACTGTGATATGTACGGCTGATGTATCCGGCTGTCCGTCGCGCGCGCATGTTTCGAGGTTCAACTGGCGCCGTTCCATCCCAAGTGGCGCTTCGAGGGCCGTCGCCTGCCGGGCGAAGGCTGGGACCACATCTCTAGAAATCATCATGAACATTAATTAAGATCCCATTAATTAATATTAATATCCTGCATATTCATTGACATCCACCATCTATTATCATCTATTATCATCTATTATCATCTATTATCACCTATTATCATCTATTATCATCTATTATCATCTATTATCATCTATTATCATCTATTATCATCTATTATCATCTATTATCTATCTCTCTACCAAATCTAAATCCCAAGTCATGTTTAGGTCATTCTTTGAGGTGGAGACTATTGACCACTTCTTTCCATGAAAATGTTGATGATTTTGATGTCCAAACTTTCTCTGAGGAGATGTACCGGAGCCTGAGAGCGATGCCGCGAACTACGTGAATCGGGCGCCGATCCCGGCCTTCCACTTCTTGCGTCGCTTGGCTGGTGCTTTACCCGTGAAAATGTGTGAACCTCTTGCAAAAAAAAGTCCAGGAGAAGATCCCTACTCGTCACTATTTATGGGACGTTTGCTCCATGATTAACAAGGTATGGCCCGATATCACTTTCCACTCAGAGGCTGATTTTCCATTCACGACATTTCACAACCAAGTCCCATCTCATCTCATCCATCTCCAGGAGTTTCAGAAGTGGAATCTGCAGCTGCTGGGCATCCCGCGGCACTCAAAGGAGGTCCTGAGGCGGCAATGGGGATGCGGCTGTCAGTTGTTGGGTGCCTATGACATGAAACCCAGCACCCACTAGTTCAACATGGGGCACCCTGAAGTGGTAAACGTGGCTGAAGAGGGAATTGGGGACAGAACCAAAGAAAACAACTCATACAAGAACATACAAACAAAAGATATTAGATTCTAGATGATGAAAGATGATGAAAGATGAGACAAGGATCTGGAGAGACTCTAACCCATGGGCCTTGTCTCCAGGCCACGAGCGCATCAGTTGCTTTGCGCAATGCCCTGATGTTGCGGAAGAAGGGCATCAGCAACTGTGAAGAGGCCGAACTTAGCTGACAAACTGAAAGACAGAGTACGAACAAATGTAGTAAACGAATAACAGTTGTTTCAACTGTGATGGCAATCGTAGGATGTAAAAGGTGAATGGAGATGGAGTACTAGCGATCCCCTAGAGCACCTGTTGTGGATGCTTCTCCCTTTGGATTTTATCTTTCAGGTCTTGCAGAGCTGTCGAGAAGATGGCAAGAGGGCAGTGGCACAAAAAAGGGAATGATGCCGGGATGTGTTAGGTGTTGGGCCGTTGAAGTGCTTGTGGGTTGTGTAACTACTTCATTGGCAAGAACGGCACTATCCACTACATTAAGGATCAGAAAATGCATGTGATCCCAACAAATAAGAATCCGATATTGAATGGGAATGATGTGAACAGCATCTCTGGCTGCCAGGGCGCTCTGATCGAATATGAAAACGTGTCAACTTAGTTCAGATTCATTGTGTTGAGGCCAAGAAGGACGAGACTGCCAGAAGCCCAGCAGGACTCAGATCAGCAGGAAGAACTTACAAAAGAGGTTTGTTTCATCCTGTGCTTTCAGTAACTGTCCTCGGGGGTGCTTGTACTACTTCAGTCCAGAACACTCATCTGAGTGAGGCTGCAGCTGCAGTGCCAGAAGCCAAGAAGGAAGAAGCCAAGGCGGCTGAACCTGCTGCTACTCCAGCTGCAACACCTGCCGAAGCACCTGCTGCAGCCGCCACCCCTGCTGAAACTAAGACCGAAGCCCCAGTGGAGAAGGTGTCATCTGGAAAGGAGGAGAAGCCCATCGAGCAAAAGATGTATAAGGCCCCGCCAGCCACTCCTGCAGCCGAGGCAGCACCTGCCGAGGCTGCCCCGGCTGAAGCAGCACCCGCAGAGGCAGCACCTGCAGAGGCAGCACCTGCCGAAGCAGCACCGGCTGAAGCTGCACCGGCTGAAGCTGCCCCGGCTGAAGCAGCTCCGGCCGAAGCAGCACCCGCCGAAGCTGCCCCAGCAGAGGAAGCAGCACCAGCAGAAGAAGCACCTACAAAAGAGGCAGCACCAGCCGAGGCGCCTGCAGAAGAGGCACCAGCTGAAGCCCCAGCTGAGTGAAGCAAGGCAATTTTGCCAAGCTGCAGATGCTCCGGAAGTATTCCGAGGTTTCGGGAAGCGGGAGATGATTTGATGAAACAAGATGAAATGAGTTCTGATTTTCAAGCTACAGCTTCATGTGTTGAAAGGAAGGCTGGTTTCTAGCCGGGATTTCAGGTCAAAGTTCAAAATCTGTGCTTCCCACACACACCCAGACCCAATGTGCCAACCAATTGTCCTACAAATCTAGATGATTTGTACATGTCAACTGACCGCAGTATTTGCAGTGACGTGGCGTGTGGAGGCTAAGACGGCAATACTGAGTGTAGGCTCCGTATCACGTGGGGGCAATGCAAGTTGCACGAACATGTGCTGGAATAAGCGTGTACATCGATGTTTGAACTGAACTCTAAATGTGGCCATTTGAAGTGTAGAAAAGGATAGAAAAGGTAGAAACAAGAAAACATGTAGAACACCCATCATCCATAATCATTCTGTCCTGATCAAAATCCAATGTTCACTGAGACACGCTGTCCTCCCTCAAAGGTCTAGGAGGCTGGGAGCTCCCGTTTCGGAGTCTCCCGGCTTTGTTAGTTTGTTCAAGTAGAGGTCACCACAATATGAAATTGCAGCTATAATCATGTGCAATTCCTGACGACATAAAATGTCATGAAATATTTCACATATTATTTATAAATAATTAATATTCTACAATTGTACGCAATGTATATGCATTGAAGTAGTTTCATATCATCCTGATGATTTGTGGCGCGGCCCGCCTCTCTGGCTTGGACTTGAGACCTTGAGGTGCGCTGCTTAAAGCAGCTCCATTTTCACGACGGATTCACAGCTTGAAGCGATTCCTCGAAGAGATAAGCTTCTCTCAGACCGCAGATCTAGGTTCCCCCCATGGAAAAAGTGGCTGCTTGAAGATGCAGCACTTGGCTGCAGCCAATGAATCCTGCTGGGATGCGGGCAACTGATTGTTGTGTGAAACCACGGGTGATTTTTTGTCCCAGCCGGAAGTCTGCCATTCTCGGAAGCTCGGAAGTGCACCACTGTCCGAATATGTTTGAATAGTGCTGCACATAGGATTACTACATTAATGTCATAGAAATATCTTCAGTTTTTCCCAACATCTTTTGACACTTGCTGGTTGGTGAATGTTGGTGATGTTGATGGTTTCGAACCCTGTGATTCCCATCCCCTGGGACCCTGGGACCCTGTGACCCTGGGACTGTGATCCTCCGCTGTAGCGGCTGAGCTGTAGCCGCTATGATTCAACCCGCTTTCGTTGGCAGCTCATTGGTGCAGGTGCCAACCTGGGCTGGGACCAAGGGTTGCTTTCTCTGTGGCTTTCACCTGGGTGTGTCTTAAAAAAATGCTATGTAGATTGGAGGAAACTGATGATTAACTTGTATCAAATTTTGGGTAATTACCTTCTTTTCAGATTGTGAATGATCCGAAGATTTCTGGGATGCCAATTCATTCTGCGTTGGACCCGTGGACTTTGCAGACCAGGCACCTAGCCGACCTGCCCAAAGCCCTTTGACATCAAGGCTGGGAGTGTTTACACCATCGATTCCCGGAATCTCTATCAATCCGACGTTTATTTACATAATTTCATATTTACTGTACATACTAAGACTACAGTTACTCGTACCAGTTTTGAAACGTCGGCGACCGTTGAAAATTGTCCGTCCCCCGGCATCCTTGGACGTTTAAAGCCAGAGCAGGCCACTAGCGGCCGGCAGCCAGAGAGTCTCCACATGGTGGCAGGTGCCCATCCCATCCCATGCAGACCATTGCAGACCTCAACTTGGAAGCCCTACATGTAAATGTGAACCATTGCTACTCAGCTTCACAATTTGCATGTTATCATGTTGTTTTATTACATCTGTTCTGATTGCATAGAGGCAGCCAGTGGGGCCTTGTGCTCCATCGCACTTGCCGCGTTCGGGACTCAGATTCCAGCTGCCCATGGCGACGGGCATCAAGCTTCGCGACCTGAGGTTTGGCAGACGTTCTCGGGCTAGGGGCCGCATTCAGATGAAGGCTAAGATGTCAAAGACTCTCGGCTTTGATCCACTGTTGGAAAGGTCAGTGATTTTCCGGTTCACAGATGGTTGAGTTTTGCGTGATAGTTGGCATGGTTGCTGTTTCTTGTTTCATTCTGGAGCGCTTTGAATGGATCACCCATTTCAGCTTCTATATCTACCAAGTGTTTTCCGCTGTCATAGAGTATCATAGAGTCATTGCTTAGTACATGAATGAAGCTATCCGTTCCTTATCCTCAAGGTTCGAAGACGAAGACGGGCCTGACCATTTCTTCAGACGGCAACAGCCAAAGGCAAGGCATAGAGAGAGAGAGAGAGACACTCGAGGAAATTCCTCAAGCTGTCAGTGCTGGTGCAGGTCAGACCCGGTTGGAACAGGTACACATCACCCAGCCCGGTCCAACACTTGGTGTGCCATGCCGTCCGGGTTCAGAGCAACCGCGCACTAATCAGAGTTTGCTGGTTTGGCAGCGATTTTCTTCAGGTGAGGATGAGCAATTCTGTCACATTCTTTTTTCCCAACAAGGACTTTCAAATGATTTCTGTGCCAAGAAGCTGTCCTGTTGTTGATTTATATATTAATAATATTATATGTATATTTATATATTAATAATATATATATATATCATGTTATATCATACTTCACATTTGCAGAGATTGATGGTCTGATGTAAACAAAATGGTCTGTTTCATTTTCGCTTGTTGGTCTATTTTGACAAACTTCCCAGGACTACAGAGACACTGAGAATCAGGGTTTCGTCAACCCGAAGCTGTACAAAAGGCGGGCATGCAAAGGAATGCAAAGGGTTACATAGCATAGATATCAGACAGTCACACAGACATCCATATTCCATCATATTCCACTATAAAAGAGGACGTCCCTGCTTTGCTTTCCCACGCCCGTGTTGATAGAGTCTAGAGCCATTGCCCAGGATCATGCCAGACAAAAAGATGATCGCACGTGCACGGCGAACGAAGAAGAGAGCCTGGCGAAAGCTGCAAAACACTTAGCCTCAGCTGAACGGGTATGTGGGGATGGGTCAAAACCTATTATTGCCATTTATTACCCATATTTAGGGGAATAAACATTCGTTAACCAGCTATTTTGGGGCACCTAGGGTGCCAGGGTTTTGACTCATAGCCATGTGGAGTTTGAAAAGCTGTTGATATTTGTTGGTCGTATGCTGCAGGTCAAATCGTTTGCAGAACGAGTGGCGCTTCCGAAGATATCCTCGCAATGAATCCGGGAAGGCTTGAAGATGCTTGAAGAGTTGTTTGTCAAATCTGTTCTCGAGTAGTGAGTAGTCAGTAGTCTTGCTTGTGTTGGTTCCCTTTCAAAGTGCTCGTAAGATAGCCTTGTGGCAATCGTTTAATCATGTTGGATCACAGACCATCAAGGTAAATCGACCCCGGCTCCAGGAACGGGTTCGCTTTCAATTGACCAGCTGAGCATTTTGAGCACATGGCTTTGACAGTCAAGGAATTGCTTACTGTGTCACATCTCTTGAAGCCCAGTGTGACAATCCCACCTCAGAACAACCCTGACTATGAATTGGGGAGTTACCCCCGAAAATAGCACTCTAAATTACTATGAACATGGGTTTGCCACCTGATAAATGCCATTGTTTTTTCACAGTGTTTCAGTCACATGGCTGCGCACTCTGAAGGTCACAGCCGGAGTTTTCAACTCCAGAAGGAGACCAACCTATGTGGATCTCAAGAAGTGCTGCTGCCGCAGCTTCTCTGCTAGGACGTGCTTGATGTCAACCCCGAACGTTAAGCCTGGTTGATTGCGGGGTACCCCCTACTGCCCCCAATGATCAACCATGATCAACAGTTTTGGGGGTTCCTGAATTGACATCACACTTCCGCAACATGGCAAACAGAGGTGTTACAGTGTTCTAGTGGCATAGATATGATGTTTGGATGAAGAGACTGGTACCATCAGATATGAGAGTCGGTCAGCGCCCTGCCAGGGGTGCCTCCCGCGCCAACAATGTAAAGTGAGCAGCGACCACAACAAGCACCACTTTGAATGCTTAGCGATGTTTAGTGGATATGCCAACCTTTTTGCACTCTGAGATCATGCCCCTGAGTAAGTGGGCTGAAACACTTACACCAAAGCGACAACGAGAAAAACATCTTGCAAAGATGCACTGACAATGCACTGCAAAGCCATGTCAACAATATCAAACGTTTCCTGCAGCTTTTCTACGATGCCTTGGCCACATGAGCTGCTCCAAAAGGTTTGCGAAGTTGCTGCGAGTTGATGTTCTCCAAGCTGGGAACAAGTACAGTTTAGAATTGCGGTAATCAAATGTATACAATCAGGATATTCATGATGGGGCACAGTTGTTGAAAAGCGGGATTGTACTCTCATGTCATTGTTTGACTTGGACATTGGATGCATGTGCTGGTTGGTGTTCAAGCAGCGCACAAAGGACCTAAGGAGTAGTTGTGCAAGAACGTACGCATTTGATACGCACTCTCCAGTCAAACTCTTTTTTCTCCATCAGAAGCTGAGATCTTTTCAACTCTAATCCTCTAATCCTCGACAGAGATCAAATTCGACACCATGTTCTCCTGGCTTGGACTTGGCAACAAACCTGAGGCACGGCGGAAAGGATGCTTTCCTGGATTCATGTCAGTAGCGAAGAGTTCACAGAGCGTTCACAGGGAACGGCAGTGTTTGAGTCCGATGATCTTCAGTGCCAGGAGCGCTTGCCTAAAGGGGGTTGCGAATGCATGCCCTAGGAACTGCAACATATGGGATGTTTGGTCATTTGAACCAAGCTCTTTGAGCACACATCCAAGCCTTAGGGTATCTTAGGGTATCCCCTGTGGGTCATTTGGAGCCAGGGCATCCCTGTGGAGAAGGCGCGAATGAGCCTGGCTTCCTGTGAAGTAGCCGAATTCTTGCTGATTACATTCAGTGGCTGGAAATGACTCAATGACCAGTTTAAATTGTGCAAATTGATATATATATATATTATATATATATATTATATATTGAATGATTTTGATTGATATATGATATATGTTGCCACTTTTTGGCTTTGATTTGCCGGCCCGATTTCAACCATGCTTCCTATGTTTGGTGCAAAACATGACCCACGATTCGTGTCGACAGAGAAACCCGTGCTGCAAGGGTGTGCACCTTGCACCAGACCTCGAAAAAGGAGGTGGGCATCGGTAGAGCTGCTATCCTACACGGGCTTCGGAGACATTACCCCTTGGTTATCGAAATTGAAAAAACTTGACTGGGGTTATCTTCTAACTATAGTAGATGGAGTTATTAACCCAGGTCAAGGGAGGGGTGCATCATTGTATTTTTATGCTGGTAAACATGATCTGCAGAGTGGGTCATCAAGTCCGCTTGCTCTTCCGCATGGTAGGTAGCCCTACCCGCTCCGAGCTTCCGCCGTTGGAGGTCAGCTGCCAGGGCTGTTGGGCTGTTGCGCGTTGCTTGCTGATTACATGATATCCATATGTCGGTGCGTCTGAAAATGACGTACACATGGCTGCGCTAGAAATGAGTAGACCCTAACTTTGCCAATTTCAACAGGGAAAACACAGATTAACTCATATTAACCAACATTAACCAACATTAACCAACATTAACCAACATTAACCAACATTAATCAACATTAACCAACATTAACCAACATTAACCAACATTAACCAACATTAACCAACATTAACCAACATTAGCCAACATTAACCAACATTAACCAACATTAACCAACATTAACCAACATTAACCAACATTAACCAACATTAACCAACATTAACCAACATTAACCAACATTAACCATTGGATTTGGGGTATATCCCAGCTTCAAACCCATGCGATTTGGTGCAGGCCATCGACGATAGACCAGAGATCGAGTTCCAGCCCCTGGACCCGGGAGGGATCCGGTAGGCATGGTAGAAATCATGAACTCAGCTCCAAGTTGGAGCTTGAAGATCTGGCAAATCTATGATACCTATGCAAATCTTGTATTTTGAGACATTTTGAGTGCATTGAAACGCATTTTCTACAGTCTTCCAGCACAGTGACTGCTGGATCGTGGTGAGGACATTTTAGGTTTCTACAAGACAGCAGACGAGTGGAAGGCGCACGATTTTGGTACAAATTTTGGTGCCAAAGTGGGGTTCTTCTTTAATTCTGGTCATTTTGCACGAGTTGGCCCGAATCAATGAAACGTGTTACGCATCACCAAAAAGTCCTACAACAGGCAATTGACAATTTATTTGTGGAAGGAATGAAGGCCCAGGCTTATTATTTTTCCCAGTGATAAAGATGGATACAGACCCATCCCTGCCTTATCCAGTGTCGTATGTCTCCAAGTTTGGACCTGATTTGTTGGGATGGTCCATATCGAAATACTCAGGCTAGCAATGGCATAGCACGGTCTTGGGAGTTATTCCAATGCTCAACAGGTATCGCAGTTAGGCTCAAAATCCATCAATTCGAGAAGCGGGTGTATTGGAGTTTTGTGGCGCATGCTTCAAGTCACTGTAGCGTTGCCAAGCGGACGCGGTGAGAAGTTTTCGCTTCCACAGTCCTCCAACGTAGCCGACTTGAGGGTTCTGGCGCAGAAATCTTTTCAGCTTGGCGTCTTGAGGCTAGTGGCTGCAGATCATAGCGTGGTGGATCCTACAAAGTCTCTGCAGGCTGCAGGGCTTGAAGATGGAGACCATCTAACAGCTATTGCTGTAAAGCCAAAGCTAGCGGCAACAGACCGAGCTTTTGCGTTGTTTTGCTCTGGAGGTGACCGGGTTGTCACTTTTGGCAACCCAGATTTTGGTGGTGACAGCTCTCACGTGCAAGATCAGCTCAAAGGTGTTCAGCAGGTTCAAGCAAGTTTAAGTGCATTTGCTGCTATCCTGGCAGATGGATCAGTGGTGACTTGGGGTGATCCAGGTGAGGGTAGTGACAGCTCTGCAGTCCAAGATCAGCTCAAAGGTGTCCAGCAGGTTCAAGCATCTTGGGCTGCATTTGCTGCTATCCTCAGCGATGGGTCAGTCGTGACATGGGGCGATGAAGATTCTGGTGGTGACAGCTCTGAGGTCCAAGAAAAGCTCAAGGGTGCCAAGCAGGTTCATGCAACGGCCAGAGCATTTGCTGCGATTCTGGCAGATGGGTCGGTTGTGACCTGGGGCAATCCAGATTGTGGTGGTGACAGCTCTGAAGTCCAAGATCAGCTCAAGAGCGTCCAAAAGGTTCAATCAACTCAGACCGCATTTGCTGCAATCCTGGCAGATGGGTCAATTACCACTTGGGGTAATCCACATTGTGGTGGCGACATGTCTGAAGTCCAAGATCAGCTGAAAGGTGTCCAACAGGTTCAAGCAACTTGGTATGCGTTTGCTGCGATCCTGGCGGATGGGTCCATTGTGACTTGGGGCAGTCCAGATGCGGGTGGTGCCAGCTCTGAAGTCCAAGATCAGCTGAAAGGTGTCCTGCAGGTTGAAGGAAGTTCGTCCGCATTTGCTGCGATCCTGGCAGATGGATCGGTTGTGACCTGGGGTGATTATGGTAATAACAGCTCTGTCGTCCAAGATCAGCTCGAGGGTGTCCAGCAGCTTCAAGCAACTCTAGGTGCATTTGCTGCGATCCTGGCCGATGGATCAGTTGTGACCTGGGGCAATCCAGATTATGGTGGTGACAGCTCTGTCGTCCAAGATCAGCTGAAAGGTGTCCAGCAGGTTGAAGCAACTTCATCCGCATTTGCTGCGATCCTGGCAGATGGATCGGTTGTGACCTGGGGTGATTATGGTAATAACAGCTCTGTCGTCCAAGATCAGCTCGAGGGTGTCCAGCAGCTTCAAGCAACTCTAGGTGCATTTGCTGCGATCCTGGCCGATGGATCAGTTGTGACCTGGGGCAATCCAGATTATGGTGGTGACAGCTCTGTCGTCCAAGATCAGCTGAAAGGTGTCCAGCAGGTTGAAGCAACTTCATCCGCATTTGCTGCGATCCTGGCAGATGGATCGGTTGTGACCTGGGGCAATCCAGATTATGGAGGTGACAGCTCTACAGTTGCTGATCACTTTACAACGTTGGGGTGACTGCCTGGGCTCAAAGCAGCCCTTTAGCTCAGAATCCTTTAGTGTTTTGAACCCCTTTGAGAAGCGTGTTGGAAAAGGCCCCATTCACGGATTGGCTAATCACCTGAAACCAATGCAGTAGCGAATGGACCAGAATCAGTTTGGAGAACCATTCATAGTAACCCCAAGAAAGATAGAACTTTAACTTTCGACTTAGCAACGTTTCGTTTTTTTTATGGTTATCCCACTGTTCAAGGAACCCCATTCTGCAACTTTAATCATTAACTGCATTGTTCCTAAACATGTTTATCATAGAATGTCAACGTGCCCATGCGCAGGGGGTGACTATTTACAGGCAGGAGGTTAACACAACCGCCAAATAGATAGGTTAACTATGGTTGGTGGTCATTGTACCGGTACCTATTCGAATTCATTTAGGGACGGGCTGCATGTGGTTCGTCCAAAGGCATCTCAAAGATTCTCAAAGTCTCCGCCATGTAGTCTGGTCTCTAGTTTGAGTTTGATATTGGTCCACTGAAACTTAGCTCCCAACCTTCCCAACTCCCAACCTTCCCAACTCCTGGAAGATCCTGGAAGATCTGCTGCCATTTCTGGATTCTCGTTCGATACCTGCGACCTGGCCATAGGCTTCTGATGGGGTGGCAAAGCGCCAGTTGGAGCGGAAGGACTTGGGTCTTGCATGAGTCGATAGTGCACATGCCGATGCCTGTGTCCCAAAAATGGCAGATCCCCCAATTGATGACGAAACTATGGGCGAAACGTGTTGGGGAGATCCAAAAAATGGTTTTGAATGGTTTTTATATGTGTTGATGGGGAAAATGATATCCAATATTATAGATGTTTTTGTGAGCCACTGGATTTTGGTGTTTTCCATGTTTTTTTGAGACAAGCCTACATAGTCCAAAAAATGTGAGGTGACATCCTTGTGACTGTTTCGTCTCCAGGAGCCCCCGGATCACGTGCGTTTGGAAGATGTCGCGGGGCAGATGAACTTCCTGATGATGGACAAGGACAGGATCCAGAGAGAGAATTCAAGATTGTTCATGCCCCTGCAAATCGGGTTCTCAAGTTTTATTTGAAACTGATTTAACTGTGTGAACATGTGCTAACAAGAATATTTGGCAATCATTTGTCAAGGCCCAAGGTTGGATGTCCTAAAGTGTCAGCAAGCTTTGAGTGGGTCAAGCCGTTCATCATGTGAGTCATTGGTTCCGAATCGGTCATTGGTTCATCATGTGCCACTTATTTGGCTATTTCTGCTGATTTCTCTGATTTCTGCTCAAGCGTAGTCTGTCAAAAATAGAGTCGTGGTTCACATCATGTCATATCATGTAGCTGATCGCGGGTTCGAGCCATGGCTTGGCGCCGATGGCATTTGGTGCTGTCAGTGTGGCTGGTGGTTGGCCACCGCATTCAGAGTGGCTTCAGGCAGCCAGGGGAAGCAGCTGCGTTGCTGGAAGCTGCACAGGAAAGGGCCAGGAGGGATCAACATGCGGATCGAGCTGCACTTGGGCTGATCAAGCTGACAGATTTACCAGGCTTAAAAATGTTTATAATGGTTTAAAATGGTGTAAATATGTTTAAAGATAATGTTTGTTGAAAAAGTCACGAAGATGTGTATGCAGACGAATCACAACAATTCCAGTTTTTCAAGGGATACTTTGGGGATGCACAAAGTGAGAGTTTGGCACAGGGACTTTGTTGCCTGCGATCTGAGGAAGTGCTGCGAAAGTTTCAGGAATGCCCTCAGGATCTGTGGCTTAGTGCTGAAGAACTGATTGACCGCTTCGTCAATGGAATTCACCGACCTGCGCCACTGACCATCAACTTCGATGCCGACAGGTGGGTGAAAGTGGCGGAGGAAAACCCTGGAGCTGCCCAAAGCTTCACTACGAACGTTCAAAATCTGTGGCAGGCCCGGAACCGTTGAAATGTTGAGTTCGTTCAGGAAGCTCAGTTTTAGGCCCAGGATTCAGCTTAGTTTAACAGGTTTGGGAATTTGCTTTGTGTACTTGTATGTCATACAAAGTCATAGACAAGCTGCAACCAGCAGTTGGCCGCATTCCAACCAGCGTCTTCATGGCGCCAGGTGGCCATGTTGCCTCATCCCCCACTGGAAGAAAGTCGAACCAAGAGAGACCAGCAAGTCTACAGCTATGCCAATGAGCGGTACGACACTGAAAAATGGTTTCATGGCCACAGGATCACTTAAAAGGCATTTTCCAATGGAAGTTGACTTGATATCTGATAATACCCAAAAGATATCAAAGACATTCAAAGACTAAGCATTCTTCTCAGAAGCAATTTCTTCGGTCTAGAGTTCGACATTTCGGGGACCCAATGCCAAACTGTATGGGCAAAACAGTTGCTAGATAGTTGCTTAGTATCCTTTCACAGGTGAGCAAAATGCAGATGGCCCAGCACCAGAGATGCAGCAAACTGATTGGCCCCCAGAAATGGACGCTTCATACTGAAAATGACCTGACATAAATATAAATGAATGATATGTCTGAAATAAATGATATATGTCAATATCATACTTATACTTATGCATTATAGATAGATGAGATAGAGACAGAGAGAGAGGGAGAGAGCGAGCGAAAGAAAGAGAAATAGATGGATATGAGTGTTGCATCATTTTTTCTGTGTCCATTTGGGTTTCATTTGACTTCCAAAATGCCTTTAGCCCCCCAGCTTCCGAGGTTTTTCGGCTTCACTCGGGCACCTGAAGAACTGAGCAGTGCAATGGAACGACCCGTGAGTGCAGCACCTGGAGTGTTTGGGGGGGCAAAAAATGGAAATGCGTTGCAATCGGTCTATGGCAACTTGGAGCTGGAAATCTCATCATCTCTGAGTCGATTCATGTTGATTCGGAAATTTCAGGGTATGAAAAAGCTACTGCTTTTGAGCGCCTTCAATGCTATCCTTGTCCTGTTTTCAATGCAAACCACCTGGCCAAGAATGAATCTGTGCTTCCATTCTGTTATGATGCTTATGTTGGTTTGTGAGGAAGGGTGCAATGGTCGTCAGGGCCAAGGTATGTTGAGATCTAGATCACCCTTTCTCAAGCCTTTTTAAAAGAGCGAAGCCGCAGCGCATTCAGGTTACTCCGCCCTATTCCTTGCTCCTCATGTTTGGAATCGTTCCACCATCATTGGGAAGGACCTGAAGGTCGCGTTTTCCGATCTCGGCCAACCCAAGGACTCTGACATAGGTCGCTATGGCATGATATTTTTGGCATATTCTGAGGGTGAACCATCACGTTTTTGGTGGTTAAATGATGTTTGATGATGTTTGTCATGAAAGGACTACGACGCAACCTTTCCAAAATTGACGCCGTGGAAGCATCGGCCAGAGCCAAAGGTGACAGATCCTATTTTGCAAATTCCACATTTGGAAGCTGCAGGTGAGGGGTGGGTGAATCGCAGGACACATGCATTCGTTTGTGGTCAGACCAATTGGAACATATTGGAAGCATAGAAAATTATGCGCACCAGTTCTAAATACAGTTCCAAAATGTTCCAAAACTGTTGCCTTTCAAAAACTCCAAGATATGGCTTGAACCATCTGGAATTCAGGTGGTCTACGATATCTGGGTACCTTCGACAATCCAGTAGCTGCCCTCAAGACGGTTTCATGCTACGAGTTTGCAAGATGGGCAGAACTGCTTGAAGGCAAAGAAAGCACGACAGGCTTCGACTATTTAGAGGTGAGCATCTTCGGTGGAGTTACCTTTGCTCATTGAGAAGGTCGTTATAAATGTCCCCACTCTCACCTCCACCTCCGGCATTGCTGCACTGGACATCGGCGAACAATCACATGTACTCCGCAAGATTTGGAAGACGCTGGAGGTTCAACAAAAAGTTACCAACATTTCGATGGGTAACTCGTCCCAGTGCAGAATGTGGCGGCTCGCCCGACTGCGAAACTTGGTTTTGCTTCCTGTTTTTGAAATGCTTTGGAGCATTGCTCTTTCATTGTGTGCCTTTGAAACAGCTGATGACGATGCAAACTGTCCCTGACTTAGGAAAGATACGGAGAATATCCTGGTGCCTTTCTGTTGATAGTTGGCGTTGTATCCGCGAAGCTGATGCAACCAGTGACCTGTCCTGTGTCCAGTAGTGCCAGGCGCTGTTTCTGCTGGTGAAAGCTACCAGTCAGAATTCACAGTGAAGAATGGATGATTTACACGATGGAAAATGGGACTGCTGAGGACTTTGAGGTGTAGATAACTAGTCTTGGCATGTCGAAAAGCATCCAAGAAAGTGTATCTGAAAAAGCGTATACCGAAGATAGTGATCGATTCAGTGGAGTTAGGGGTCCACTATGCTTGACTATTTTTGGACAAGTAATGCCAAGAACCTCACTCCAGTCATGGATTCTGCACTAAAGCAACAGGACTGCACACGCCCTTCGTGCGGGCATGGAAGTGCAATACCTATGCATGTTCCCGAGTTCCTGTATCATACACTGGTAGCATCAGTACCACCGTGGCCATGAAATGAACGAAATGAAACGGTGCTCAAGCTCCACCCAAGCAGCTGGTGAAAGGACAATGACGAATCGATTGCCCTCACTGTTACGAAGTCCTTAGAGGCCTTGACCAAAAAGACAGCCTGAGACTTAGGCCTTGACAAGGCGACTGCAATTTGACAGTGTGATTGTATGCAGTTTACAAGCCAGTTGCTGGGCTATGTAATATGCAAGGCTGTTTCATTTCTGGTTTGTTGCTTGTGATAGCTTCAGTTTTGAACATTTTTGAACTTCGAGTCAGAGTTTGAGAACTGAGGTGACGCGAGATAACAAAGGCCATATTGTGGGCATTGCAGCCTTTGCAGCATTGTCAAGCCGCACAAAGAATTCCAATCAGGGTGTTGCATTTTGGAGGAAACAAGTCCTAAGTCCTAAGTCTTTAAGTGTCTCAAATGTTCAATTTCAATCAATTTCACATGTGTTTGGATTGATAATACAGGATAATATAGGTAATATTGGTAATTGGTATTAACCGGTGCTTGTTTTGAATCCTCAACGGCAATTCCATGTCAGATTCAAGACAGCAACTCGATGCCGCGCGCATTTGCCAAATTGAGTCACCCTGGCCTGATTTGGGGACCATATGAAAGTCCTGCCTGCAACCACTAGTAGTAGCATATGTTAGAATCATAACCACAGAAACGAAACCTTATTACATCTTATTACTCTGCAAGCTCTTTCGAGAATCTAACCATCGCCAGGAATCGTTTGAAGAACGACCCATCGCTGCAGATTGAGAAGAAGCAACTCGCCTGATCAAGTCCAGCAATGGAGCACCCAACTCCTTGATGTTCCCAGTGGATTGAGCACATATTTTTTCTAGTGGATTGGGGATGTTGTGGGTCTTCAGTCTTGGAAGACCTCGAACTCAACACAATTGAACAGGCAGCTGGATGCGGTTGCTACACCTTGTTCCGCTGTGACTTTAAGGCCCAACGGTGATCCTGCGTGGAAGATTCCGGACAGCAGTGCTGAAAAAGACGTTTGTTCTCACCACACTGCGCCACTCAGTACCGCAATTGTATGCAATTGTAGCATTTCATAGCCATGCAGCGCATAATTCTCTTGCGGATATGAAGTGTGGAGACACTTGACACGGCCTGGGCGGCGATTTTTCAGAGGCATATTCATTTCAATGGAGAAAACCGTGTCAAGCAAACCCTGGTGAATGCTTGGAATACAGTCCCGTCTTTGCCATGACCAGGAGAATCCTGCGGAGCTGATCAAGAAGAAGCTGATAAGGACAGATAGGAAGTTCTGTTGCCTCATTTAAAACGGACATGGGCCTTGAGGTGGTGTGATTGATTTTTGTTTTGATAGGCTGCGTCTCAGCTCGAATTTGGCATTCACCAGTGATCCGCGAATTGAGCAGGACGTACACGAAAATCAAGAAATCGGGCCATGACATGTCCATTGCAATGCTGGCGGCGTTTTGTTTTACGTTTTACTTTGTCAGTCATAATATGCGACACTTACATGCAGTGCATTTGCCTGATTGGTAAACAACTGCATACTGAATATTGCAGACAAATTACATCAATTTTCAGTGTTTTGTGGTGCAGTCGATGCAGTCACGTGGCATGTGTTGCCCTTCTATCCAGAGCAATGACAGGTCACAGTGCACCAATTGGAAGAACGCGTGGAAACATTGAAGAGACTGTGAGCCGTGCTGCCCTTTTTTTGCTTCCGGAATCAACACCTCCCTTTTTGCAATCAGTTTGGTTTGGTCAACCATAGCTATATCATGGAAGATGTACGCAAAGACCATAGCTGCTCAAGCCAGGCTGTGCAAGTAGTCAAAAGAACTAGACTGAAGTCTGTAAAGTTCCTGAAATTCACTTTGCAAGCCCGCCGGAAAGCACAGTTACATACAATCATCACAGTGCAATACCTTTGACGGGTCAGTTTATATTGAGATTTTAGGCTATTGAGTCATTCAAACCAAGGATGTAAATTGTGTGCAAGACTTGGCGGCTTGATTTGCTTTTCCACAAGTGGAAGGATGTTATATTTTTTTCCAGGTTCAAGATGCAATGCCCTCGAACCAATCTCCAAAGGAGAAACAGCTTTTTATTTCATGCACGGAAAAACACATAATGAAAGAAAAATCATATAATATCAGCCATAGAAATCTATATGTTTGAACAACATATATTTATATAGTAGTTAATATTGAGCAGCGTCAAAAACCTCCAAATAAGAAAATTATATGGGGATTAAACTAAGTTGGGCCCGCAGAAGTGAAACCTACGTCCGCAGAAGCGTGCGGAAGCGCTTGCGGAAGCAGACGCTGTTCGTCCGATCGCGGAAGGGCCGCGGAAGACGATTT